AGGTTTCCTCGGAAGGCAATTTTTTTGCAGTTAAGATTTTAGATTATAAGGTACTTACATTCCCAGATATTTTTAACTTGTGGTACCTTTAGTGGACACTTATCTAAGTTGTATTCGTAGTCTGCAACGTGTCTCCGATGGACTACTTCACATTTTCAAGTGTTAAAGATAAGTTCATTGTTGCCCACCCGATTTTGAAGTCAAGTCGGATTCTTCTGAAGTGCCTGGGTGTAAATTCCCCCCAGAGTTTCACATAATCGTCGATACCCGCTGTGAATAATCGTTTATATAAATTAAGAAATTAGGGGTTCTAGTATTGGACTCTAGGGGATCCTACAAAGGCACTCGGTAGCCTGAGAAAAAGTGAAGCTTACACTAACCCTAAAAAGTTGGTTATTTAGAAATAAAAGAAGCTAATCTATGGATGGTGTCAACGGAGATGAAGTATCGAACAATTAATTTTGTTTAGCGGTGCCGGCATCTCGTTTTCTGACGTCAGTATCACCATATTTCGACTGTTCATGGTGGACGTGTGGGACTAGCACCTCGTGGTTGGAACCTAAAGTCAGAGAGAATATCCAACAAACGTATGAAGTTATTTATTCTTACGACTGTTGCTTAGGCAGTTGGAATAGACATCATACCATCGTTGTTACACCAGCGAATGAACTAGTAATTGTTGAATGAATAGATGGCAGTATCACTGTTCACTCATTGGTTCTGGTTTAGCAGTTGAAGATAGTTGATCATACTATATTTCATTCTCTATAAAGAAGTCGGCATTTCCACAGCGTTAAGTGGTGACTTGATACTTAATCATTTGAGCTTACTGATGGAACACATATTATTGATCCCATCAAACGTTTTCAAGAAGTCAACGTGTAATACCTCGAACTTCCTGTTGTGATCAGGGTTGATTGTCCATCTATCCACTACAGTCAACATGCTGGTTATGCAAAAGTGGTCCATCCTGAAATCATGATGTTGGTGTAAGAACAAGTTTATAGATAACGACAACTTACGTAGACTGTCACGTATCAAGGACTTTTTTCGCAAACCTGTTAGGATAATCACTACATAGCTCAGTAATTCCTCAGCATTTATGTTGCATGTACCACATACCCATTTGTGATCGTACTTAGCAAGTCTGTTATCAGCACTTGCTGTAGGGTCCATTCATGCTCTGTGAAAAAAGACTTCACACTTATCCCACTGCGTACCATAGGTGACAGTAAAACTGCAACCAGGTCACTTACATGTGACCGTAGTGAAACATAAGTTGTTAAAAGAATTTTTAAAAAAGTGAACGACCATGAAAGAAACAATATATTCAAAATGGATAAAAATGGCAGTATAAGGTAAGATATGCTAAAACTAGCCTCTCTACGCGGAAAACCGTTAGAAACGAACAGTAAGCGAAAGCGAAAGTACAGTTAACTATTAACCCAGATAAAACTCAAAAAAGAAAAGCAATTTACCAAACGGTAATCTCAGGACAGATTCTTCGACTCCAAAATAGCATTTCTGTTAAATAAGAACACAGAAGTTTGAGAAATGCAAATCACGTAAGGATAATACTTCCCGTCCATGAAATGCGCATTTTTATTATTATGTTACACATTCTAGGGTGTTACTTTAGCGTAAAAAATGAAGAAGTACTCGCGAGAATGCAAGTTAAACTTTTTGTAATTAGTCTACAAGGGTGAGAAGAGGATATCGGGCGACATATATTAGTTTTAAAAGCATGTTGTACTTCGAGGGCCAACTTAACTCTGAACGTCACAAAAGACTATGTTTGTATAATCTGCCCTCCTAGAGAATGCCAGTAATTTATGAGTAGACGAGGGCAACAAAACTTCAGATGCAAATAGTATGGCCAAAATTTTTAGATTTAATCAGAATATTTGCTTCGTAATCAGGCCTAAATTGAATAAAAAGACCAGCAACAATAATATTAAAACTATTCTTCGGTGTACAGTTAGCGAAAATTATATCCATTCTTATCATAATCTAACGTAACGTAACCAGGTCAAAGTATCTCATTTTATTCTTATGAGGAAACAGATAATGGGATTTCAGCATTTTGATCCCTGGTCACTTATCCCGTCCTAGTACATACGCTTCTTATTTGATAGAAGGACTAGTTTCTTAAACCTTATTTTAAATGCTGTCTCATACACGGCAGGTATAAGATCCTAAAATATATTTATCTAGGTCAATAAAAGTTTTACGAATTTTAAAAAAACATACGAAGTTTCCGGATGCAACCTTACCATTGTTAGCAGAGGTTCTGAAACCTGTACACACTAACTTCTAAATTCTGACAATCAATAACCTTTGGTGATCAGTACTCATTCATTATATAGTGATATAAAGACATCGAAATGTCCCTTTTAGACCATTACACTCTTCCTGGAATTCACGTCGAAAGACAACTGGATTTTTCACTCAATCAGAGTATGTCAAGCCATTTCATTTGTTCCATTGTTATGTCTTAAAGTTAGAGAAGTCTTTAATAATCTTGTTTTTATGTTCATCGCACAACATGAGAAATATGCGGAGTGAAGGTATACTTCAGTCAAATGCACAAAAATTTCACCAGCCAACAGAGGAATATGGGAAACATAATACCTAACAAAACAGGAAAGTGAAAAACGGTAGGTTTAAATAATAGTGCGAGTATTATAGCTACAAACATTTGTATTCTGTTGTAACAGAATATTCTCAATTCCATACACGATCACAATAAATATAATCCGTTATTTGAAATAAGATATGCGTCTTTAGAAAAATAATGTTCTAAGAACTCTCTTACAGTAATCACAGGTAGCTTACTGTCGAATACGTCGTGGAAGCAAACGGATTATATCTTTTTACAACTAACGTCTGGGTCAATGAAAATCCTTAATGGTTTCGGAGATTTGTGCGTTCCACAACAAGATCATCAAGGGAACAGATTGGGCTGCGATAGCAGAGGTTATATGGCCACATTAAGAACAAGTGCGTTATGTGTAAATTTGTAGTAAAGATGCAACAGGTACCCAGAGTTTAACATAGCCTTCACACGTAGCACCTTTATAATCAAAGGATTCCAACCCAGTCAGACCAGAAGGGGTTCGATGATATATTTGGACATACTGAAAAGCGTTTGGTCCAATCTGGCTAATATCTGCAAGGGATTTATAGCGCGACGTAACCATTCGTGATTTGGTGAGGATGGGTGACCGGGCTATTGTGTGCCAAATAAGACTAATGAGACTTGCAGAACTTATAGAACTACTTATTTCGGGGATTTGTTTACTATTACAGTTGTAAGTTAAGTCCGATATTTGCTTGGCTTTATCTCCTAGGGACGCATAAGGTCTTATATGAATATCAGAAAAATCGTGCTCCCAAATGGTTCAAATGGTTCAAATGGTTGTGGACGGAATAGAAGAAGCTTTCGCTTAACAGACTTCCGTGTCTAGTAGCAGGGGATCACCAAATCCTCCAGGCAGTAACCTAGGTATGTTAACAATAAAAGAGGAAAAGAAATTGGTTAATCATAGTGTGATGCTGTCCTTGGTCCTTAAGAATAGGTCAAGTTGCCTCTTGAAGGACTCCTGAGAAGTCGCTTGGACTAGCACGGCCGGCAGCGAGTTCCAGCTTTTGACAACTCTTAAGGAGTAGAAGTTGTGTCTACATTCCGTCCTGCTATGTTGTGTTTCCAGTTTCTGGGTGTTACCCCTTAGGTTATTATTCGAACTAAGCTTAACTAGGTGTTTAAGAGGATGTCCAGAAGTGTTAAGAATACTATAAGCCATTAATAAATCACCTCTAAGACGCCTATATTCTAGTGGGTAAAGGTCTAGTGAACGAAGGCGTTCTTCGTAAGGCTTAGATTTGAGTCCTCGAACTGATTTCGTGGCTCGCCGTTGGATACGCTCCAAAGTGACCATGTCCTTTTGGAGTGAGGGGGGAGTACTATGTTTCCGTACTCTAAATGGGGACGGATGAAACTATTGAAGATTGTGTGGAAAGTTCGTCCGTCAAACTGTCCGAAAATGCGCCTCAACGTTACCAGTGCAAGGTTTGCTCGGAAGGCATTTTTGTCACAGTTAGCGTAAGACTTTAAATCATGGGGCACCAGGACTCCTAAATCTTTTTCGACTTCGGATACTACTAGAGAGGAGTTTCCTAAGTTGTAACTGTAGTTTGCGAAATGTCGCAGATGGACTACCTTACACTTTGAAGTGTTAAAGGTAAGTCCGTTATCGTCTGCCCAACTTTGAAGTCCAGTCAGATCCTCCTGAAGTGCCTGCATATCGTCTTGGTTGCGTATCTCTCTCCAAAGTTTCACGTCGTCGGCAAAAAGTAATAAGTCTGACGTAACCTGTTGAGGAAGATCATTTATGTAGATCAAGAAGAGAAGAGGCCCTAGTACTGAGCCCTGGGGGACCCCACTAGGACATTCCATAGCCTGAGATAAAGTGAAATTAACCCTAACCTTAAAGTGTCGATTTTTTAGGTATGAAGTAAGTCAATCGATTAGAGGTGGTTTGATACCTAGTCGTTTGAGCTTGTTGATAAGACACAAGTGGTTAACCTTATCAAAAGCTTTTGAGAAATCAAGGTAAATGACATCAACCTTTCCCTTGCAATCGAGGATGCTTGTCCATCTGTCCACCGCAGTCAGCAGGTTGGTTATACAAGAGTAACCCTTCCTGAAACCATGCTGTTGGGGTGAGAAGAAATTTAAGGATAGTAGATAGTCATTTAAACCGTCGCATATCAGGGACTCCATGAGTTTTGAAGGTAATGACAGAAGAGCCACCGGCCGATAACTTGAAGGTTCATTGCATCGACCACCTTTGAAAATTGGTGTGATGTGAGCCAACTTCCAATTTTCCGGTAATTTGCCTCGGCTAAGCGAGTGTGAAGAAATCACGCTAAGCGGCGTTGCCAGGATTGAGGCTGCCTCCCAGGTACTAGTTAGTAGATATCTTCATTTCTTCAATCTTAGAACCCTTTTGAACATATCATATAACTCGAGATCTACGTTTCCAAACTTTACGGATCAAAAAAGCTTATCAGATTTGGATAATCAGAAGGTTTAAGTGAATACTTCACTGACCGGGTTTTCGACATTTTGCGCTACTATTTGAGGTTTCCCTATATTTAGTAGCAATGTCCTCTTTAAACTCAAATACACTTCAAATCAAGTATATACATAATTCGTAAGTTCCTAATATCTTTATGGTTTTATTAACACTTTTATCCTCCTGATCTGTAAAGTGTTGCAATGGTGACGAGCTGTCCGTTGTCAGCTAGTCTTCAAGTCATTGACCAACAAGTCCGAGAATTGTGTAGTTTCACCAAAGATCAACCATTCACAATAAAATGGATCGACGAAGAACACGATCCTATCGTTATTTCCTCAGAAATGGAATTAAAAGAGGCGTTCCGACTTCACGAGTTGAATAAAGAATGGCAACTAACAGTTCATGGTAAGTTTCTCCTGTGTACTTTTTTAAACAGTATTTTGACTATTGTTTGGGTTTAATTTCATAATCTCTGGTAAATTCGGTCACTGTCATGTTGACGTATATGCAGTGAGTTAAGAACGCTTTTAGTGGCCAACTAACGTCAAATAGACATCGTCTTAGAATTTACTTGGCAAAAATGTTATTGAAAAGCTAAAATAGGCATTCCTTAGCAAATGGTCAATGACTTGGGTGATGTTTGATAAGGTTCTACCCTTAAAAGCTTACTTTACAGCTGCGAAGTCACTGGTTTTATGATGTACTAGTCCATCAATGAAATCAAGATTCAGATTTGTGTAGTAAGGACAGAGGGCCTACGGCCTATCTTATTCCTTTTCTAGTATGCTCCGGTCCGAGTCACCTTTTAAACAAGGGCTTGCAGCCTGAACGCAGTTCTCAAGCTTAGCTCTCACTAAGGATGTGTATATTGTGGTGAACATGGTAGTATCTAACTTGGTGAATGTCTGTTTTAAAGCCCAGAGGATTCGAAACCCCTTAGCTGCGACCTCCCGGCAATGGGCCGTCGTTTTGAGATCATGACTCACTGTCACCTCTAGATCCTTATGAGACCGTACCACGGGATCACCGGGTAAGTAATAGTAGGTAATGATGGTAAATCAGTTGATGAGGTTGTTAATTTTCATCGACTGAGATGGTTGGGCCACGTGTTACATATTTCTGAACTCCGATTACTACGACGTGCAATGCTGATTAGTGTTGGGGTTGGCTAGAAGAAAGTTAGGGGCGACCAAACTTAAACATGGCATGAGTCCATGAAGTCACAAACTTCTAGCCTGAACCATGTTGGTAGATGCAGACTACTTAGTTGGGGCAGTGATTTTGGTACTTGTTGTGATTATACTTGCTTTTGGTACTTATTGCACTAAAAAGCATTCTTGGTCTACTTTAACTAAGAGTTCTTTGGTTAAAGTTTGAAATTTTTTGCTACATTTTGTCCTGAGTACCTGTTTTTAGTCCTTGCCTAACACTTGTGTTCACATTGTTATCATTTTTTGTTTTTAAACCTTTTAAATCGAATTACAATGGTTGGTAAGACTCACAAATTTGAGCAACCAAATTGTTTGTTCCCCGTTGAGGAGGGAATGCAGTGTGACGATTGTAAAAAGTGGTATCACAAAATGTGTACACGACTAAGTCCGACGGCTTACAAAAGATTCTCGAAGCCTAACTCGCATTGGCTTTGTATGTTCTGCTGTACGGATAAAAAGGTACTAATACAGGAGGCTATGGGCCTATTGGCTTTGGCCTGCAAGAAAAACGATGGCGGAAGCACTGATAACAGGAGCACTGACGATGAAGAATGTGTCAGTGTAGTAAGTGCTGCTACTGGACCCATTAAACACCTGACTGCGGTTGACGGGAACGTGAAATCTCCGTTGACATTAACGAGAAATGAAGTGTCGCTTGATATTGACATCGGCAGTCATACACCTCTAGTCGAAATAGAAGATCCGGATAAAACTGTCACCGTTCCACATAGTCCAGGTGTGGCTGTTCTGAGTGGTGACAAATGGACTTCGGTAAGAAAAAAAATAAGAGGAAAAAGGCTGTAGGCAAAACGCAGCTGGTCAGCAAGACATTGGAAGGGATGTTATCAGAAGAAAAAACCTCACCGCGTGAAAAGACAGATCTCTCTGAGAGATCAGTCATTTTTCATAAGATAAGAGAATCTTCAGATACTGAACCAAAGGCAAGATTTGAACATGATCTCAATCATATTAAGACATCTTTAAGTAAACTACTCTCAGATACAGTTTCAGGAGTTAGTATTTGTAAGCTTTATAGAATAGAAAAAACGGTGGATTCCGAAAGTCCTCAGAAAAACCGCCTCCTAAAGGTTACATTCAACACGGTGGAAGAAAGGAACCTGATTCTAAGTAATTCACGTAAACTGATTGGATCCGGAATATATGTCCGTGCGGACCTCAGCCTAGCTGATCGTATTAAGAAAAGAGCTGCAGAAGCGGAAATAAACGAGCGTCGCCGAAACGGTGGAAGAAACCTCGTTCTTAAGGGTTTTCAGATTGTAAAAGTTCGGAGCAAAACGATCCCCAAGCCACTCTGGGTGGCAAGGGAAAGCTCTCCACAGACTTAAAAGTGTGCTACACAAATGCTCGCAGCCTACTAAATAAAATGGCGGAGCTGAAGTCAGTGGTGGATAAAGAAAAACCGGACGTTATCGTTGTCTCGGAAACTTTGTTAACGTCAGAAGTATTAGATAGTGAAATCCAATTGACTGGTTTCATAACCAGTAGGGCTGATAGATTAAACCGAAGGGGAGGCGGGGTTATTGTGTACATGAAAAGTACCCTAACCATAAGATTAGCTGAGACAGTAGCACATGTTTCAGGGACATGTGAACTGGTGAGATGTAAGTTGAAATGCCGAAGGCAAGATATTGAAGTAGTTGTAGTTTATCGCAGTCCAGAATGTGTAGCAGATGATTTTCTCCTTAGCAAACTTAAGTCCTGGTGTAACAACGGTAAAAGTCTTGTAGTAGGCGATTTTAATGCACCATATATAAACTGGGTTAACTTAGAAGTAGGGTCATCCATATCGTTGTTCGACTCCAAACTGTTAGAAACCTCGATTGGACTAGCATTATTCCAACACACTAGAGATCCCACAAGATACGACTTAAGAAACTCTTCTCTTTTAGATTTAGTCTTCACACACGGTGATGACGTTGGTCAAACGGCTTTTTTCCCACCACTTGGGAGAAGTGACCATGCAGTCATCTTATTCAAATTCATGGCTGAGATTGCTTGTCAAACAATTGCGCCGGCCCGTCCTAACATATGGAAGGCAGATATGCAAGCAATTAACTCCGCAGCATCGGCTGAGAACTGGGAAATTGACTCAAAGGGATCAGTACAAGAGGCATGGACTCTATTCAGACAGTTATACAATCGGGTAACTCAACCATACATACCCTGGACTGTCCCCCAAAGAAAAAGAAGCACGGACATCCCTGGATAGGGCGGGATATTCGACGCTTACTAAGACGAAAGAAGAAATGCTGGGATGTTGCCATCCGCCTTGGCACAACAGGTACGATGGAACGCTACAGATCGATAAGAAACGAGTGTATAACTAAAATTCGGGAAGCGCAAAGAAAATATGAAATGCAGCTGGCAGAATCTGCACTCAAGCAGCCCAAGAGGATATTCGCGTACATAAACTACAGAACAAGGATTCATCATTGGATTCCCAACCTAATTAAAGTAGGAAGTGAATCTGAAATGATAGAGGAAGATCAGGAAAAAGCTGAGATTATGACTGACTACTTTGGGGCAGTTTTCACTCAAGAACCTCCTCTAGAGAAAGAACCGGACCCAATTACAGAGTCAACAAACCAGCTGCTCACCGTGGACTTCGACCAAAACGATGTGCTTAAGGCTCTTAGCACCTTAAACATGGAGAAGTCAACAGGACCAGATGAACTACACCCTAAAATCTTGAGACATATTGCCGAATATATCGCAGCCCCACTGACTGTGATATTCAAAATGTCATTTGACCAAGGTGTGTTACCTATGGACTGGAAGGACGCAATCGTCACTCCTATACATAAAACAGGTCTACGACAAGTTCCATCAAATTAGAGACCCGTAAGCCTCGCCAGTGTTGTAATTAAAATACTGGAAAGAATAACCAAACTGACCATAACAGCATTTATGGAAACCAATAACTTGCTGAACATGGCACAACATGGTTTTAGAAAGGGTCTATCCTGTACAACAAACCTCCTTATAGCTAGGGAGCTCTGGATTAATGCGCTAGACAACGAAAACTCAGTGGATGTTGTCTGCATAGACTTCAGTAAGGCTTTTGACAAGGTGCCAACTAATAGACTGCTATTGAAGTTGGCAAACCTTGGTATTGCCGGACCTCTTTTAAAATGGATTAAGGATTTCCTAGTAGGTCGTAGGCAAAAAGTAAGAATAAATTCCAAGTGCTCCATCTGGAGACCAGTACTTAGTGGAGTACCCCAAGGTTCCGTCTTAGGTCCTTTACTTTTTATAATGTACGTTAATGGTCTTACAAGTATAGTACAGTCTCCAATGTTATTATACGCTGACGATGTAAAAATTTGGCGAGTAATAACTGGAGACAAAGACGCATTTACTCTTCAGGCGGACTTAAATAATATGATAAACTGGTCTAAAGAGTGGCTAATGCCTATCAACTCGGAAAAGTGTGTCTACATGCACTTGGGGGATTCAAAGGTTAATACGTACAACATAGGGGATGTGTCATTACCCGTAGTCCGGTCTCATAAGGACCTAGGGGTGACTGAGCAATGATCTTAAGACGACGGCCCATTGCCGGGAGGTCGCAGTTAAGGGGTTTCGAACCCTCTGGGCTTTAAAAAGGACATTCACTAAGCTTGATACTACCATGCTCACCACATTATACACATCCTTAGTGAGAACTAAGTTAGAGAACTGTGTTCAGGCTGCAAGCCCCTGTTTAAAAGATGACTCAGACATACTAGAAAAGGTGCAGAGGGCAGCTACGCGTGCAATTCTGGAACTCCGGGGTTCATCATATAAAGAGCGGCTTGAAAAACTGAACCTCTTTACTCTGTCCTATCGCAGACTAAGGGGAGATCTAATATTGATGTACAGAATACTGAGAAATGATTTCGGACCTAACTTATTCTCTCTCTTTCTTCCCACTAGATCGAGACACCTCAGAGGACATAGCAGGCGAGTAGAAAAGCCAAGAACGAACAAAATACCCGTGGCATACAGGTTTTCACACCGAGTCATCAATACTTGGAACCTGCTGCCTGAAGCAGTGGTGTCCGCACCTTCAATTGACTCTTTCAAGAGAAGACTGGACACTCACAGAAGCATACTAGAAAAGGAATAACATAGGCCGTAGGCCTTCTGTCCTTACTACACAAATCTGAATCTGAATGTACTAGTCCATCAATGAAATCAAGATTCAGATTTGTGTAGTAAGGACAGAGGGCCTACGGCCTATCTTATTCCTTTTCTAGTATGCTCCGGTCCGAGTCACCTTTTAAACAGGGGCTTGCAGCCTGAACGCAGTTCTCATGCTTAGCTCTCACTAAGGATGTGTATATTGTGGTGAACATGGTAGTATCTTATTTATTTATTTGGACACATGAATATTGATACAGGGGAGCGCCCATATATATGCGCCACACAAAACAATGAAAATTCGAGAGGAATACAAAGAAAGAAAAAAAAGCTAAGGAGCGCAACAAAAAAAGAGAGAACAATAATAATAATAATAACAAACGATGAACTCTATTGGTAGTATCTAACTTAGTGAATGTCCGTTTTAAAGCCCAGAGGATTCGAAACCCCTTAGCTGAGACTTCCCGGCAATGGGCCGTCGTTTTAAGATCATGACTCACTGTCACCTCTAGATCCTTATGAGACCGTACCACGGGATCACCGGGTAAGTAATAGTAGGTAATGATGGTAAATCAGTTGATGAGGTTGTTAATTTTCATCGACTGAGATGGTTGGGCCACGTGTTACATATTTCTGAACTCCGATTACTACGACGTGCAATGCTGATTAGTGTTGGGGTTGGCTAGAAGAAAGTTAGGGGCGACCAAACTTAAACATGGCATGAGTCCATGAAGTCACAAACTTCTAGCCTGAACCATGTTGGTAGATGCAGACTACTTAGTTTGGGTCCGCGTGACTATCGTAACCAATAGTTGAGGATTCTTGGTGACATGGCTCAGAATCGATCACAATGGAGTCGGTGTATACACTCTGTGTCTTCCCTTAAACTAAGAGATTAAAATCGCTTCATATCTTTCTAGGAATTAATTCTCTCTCTCTCTCTCTCGGACTGATGCATATATGTGCCTGGTCCTACGTTGTAGCTGACTGACTAACTTTCTTTTAGTCAATGAAGTTGATGTTTAATCATGAGTTCACGATTTTATTAATTCTTATATATTAGTAGAATTGACGAAAGATTGTTTGGACGATTTCCTGTCCATATTTATAAATTCATTAACTACATTTAACGAAGACGTGATTATTTCTGTAAAATGTGTTGCCTGGGTAGGCTCCTTAGATCATTATATTGAACACAATAGTCAAAACTATCACTTTTTAATAATTGCTGAACTAAATGGTCATAATCTTGATGTCAAAAGCGAATAAAAACGAATTATAAGTGAAATAACGTGAACACAATACACTTCTGTTTCGGAAAAATACTAATGGATAAAATCAATAATCCTAATAGAGGCATGAAATTCCGATTCGCTTGAGATTTCAAATGTAGAAAGGTTTTTCCGTGGTTTTAAACCCGTAAATATCCCATCGATACTTTGTGTATGATGTATTATCGCGGTGTTTGTTCGTAAATGATTTATAAAGTGTACCTGGTCTAATTCTAACTTTGCACTTAAGCTTCATAAATTTCCCATTTACTTTGTTTTAGTATTTAATGGAGTTCCAAGTGAACCGGGTAAACCCTGTCCTGGCGAAGATAGTAAGTGTTTTCATTGTCAACTGCATATTATAAAAGCATTTACCTTTCATACTGATTGTATTTGAGAAAAATCGTATTCTTTTGAAAATATGAGTGACTTCTCTGAAGGCTCTACTTTTTCACCTATAAAAATACTGTCTTGAATTTAGTTGACAACCATAATTTTCTACTTCAATATTCCCCAATAAGACCCTCCTTCAATAGTCGCACACTGATGCAGATCGGACATTAGATAGGATTGGGTACATCCTTAAAAAGTCTCAACATCAATGCCTTTTATTTATCTGACACCTATGTTCAAGACTATAGTGAAGTACTGCAGATTAGCTCTCCATCTGTTTCTTCAAAAAGCTCGTTTCGCGTACGTTTATCCGGGGGCTCCATGACATCGTCTTTTTGTCATCTCCACCTATGCTCCGACAGACTGCAGCCGGATGCGATCAAGGATGAGTTCTACCACCAGTTAAGTGTTCTACAGAAAGTGCGTTCGACAGATGTTGTGGTGCAAGCCGGAGACAAATACGCAAGTCGTACGTCTAGGCACAGAAGAGGGTCGTTCGTATTGCCGATGGACCGTGAAGCCTGGTGGTCGAAGCGTGCTAATGAGCTGGAAGCAGCAGCTGCATCTGGTAACTACAGGAAGCTCTTCCAACTCATCCGAGCCACTGGCAGCAAGAAGTCTGGTGTGAGTGAAACAATCTGCGAGGATGATGGGATGCCAATCACTAACATCCATCGACGTCTTGGACGATGGGCAGAATTTTGTGAGGGGCAGTTCAACTGGCCTGTTGCTCCGGCAACATCGGTCAAACTGTCCTGCCCTCCATGGCCGGTGACGACTGATCCACCAAACGAGGAGGAAGTCCGCAAGGAACTCCAACTCTTGAAGCGTTACAAATCACCTGGCCCAGATGACTTGCCTCCGGCTCTTTTTAAAGATGGTGGTGACTTTTTGACTAAGGAATTGACGACGTTGTTTACAAAGGTTTGGGAACTAGAGAGTGTTCCAACGTCATGGAATGAGTCGATAGTTGTCCCTATCTTTAAAAAGAGTTCACGTCGTTCCTGTAACAACTATCGGGGGATAAGTTTACTTCCGATTGTGTCCAAGCTATTGGCTTCCGTCATTCTTCGTAGGTTGTTCAAAACCAGAGAAAGATTGACTCGCGAGGAGCAGGCTGGGTTTCGTTCTGGTCGAGGATGTATTGATCATATCTTCACCCTCCGCCAAATGTTAGAACACCGCCATACTTATCGAAGGCCAACAATCGTAGTGTTTCTTGACATCAGGGCTGCCTTCGATTCGTTGGACAGGGCTGTTCTCTGGGATTGTCTATTGAAGAAGGGTGTGCCTGAGAAGTTTATTAACATCCTAAAAGCCCTATATACAAACACCTCAGGCAGAGTGAGGGCATACAACCACCTCTCTTCATTGTTCCATTCGAGCAGTGGGGTTAGGCAGGGTTGCCCAATCTCAGCATTCCTCTCCAACTTTGCCATCGATGACATTCTGGAAACGGCTCTGATGAATGTAATTAATGGTGGTGTGGATCTGTTACCTGGAGAAAGACTTCTCGACCTTGAGTATGCGGACGATATTGTCTTACTGTGCGATAATGCCCAAGGCATGCAATCCGCACTTAATCAGTTGACAATCAGTGTCCGTAGGTATGGTGTGTGCTTTGCACCTTCGAAGTGCAAAGTACTTCTACAAGACTGGCAGGATTCCAATCCTGTACTCACCCTGGATGGTGAGCAGATAGAAGTAGTCGAGAAGTTCGTGTATCTGGGTAGCTGCATAAGTGCTGGTGGGGGTGTGAGTGATGAGATCAATGCACGAATAGTGAAAGCCAGAGCGGCTTATGCCAATCTGGGCCACCTCTGGCGCCTTCGTGATGTTAGTCTGGCTGTAAAAGGTCGGATCTACAACGCGTCGGTGAGAGCAGTTTCGCCCCATGCTTGTGAAAGCTGGTCTCTCCAAGTTGTGGACGTTAGACGACTCTCTGTCTTCGATCATCGTTGTCTCCGAAGGATTGCCGACATCCAGTGGCAACACCATGTTAATAATGCAGAGGTTCGTCATCGTGTGTTCGGGCACAGAGACGATAATGCAATTGGTGTCACCATCTTGAAACACCGACTTCGGTGGCTTGGACATGTTCTCCGAATGTCGTCCCAGAGAATTCCACGTCGTGCATTATTTGCCGACTCTGGGACTGGTTGGAAGAAGCAGAGAGGTGGTCAGTGCATGACATGTTGTCGGGGTATGAAAGAAAGCTGCAACGGACTGGCTTCTGTCGGTTCTTCACGACTCCCTTGTTGGGGTCTAAGAGATGGTGTGACACAGTGACTAGGAACGTTACCGGATATTGCTCAGAGTGGAAGTTAGTAGCGATCCTGCTGTAACCTTCTTTTACTTTCTTCATAAAAAGTGGTTGTGTCTCCCTTACCTGAAAGATTTCTTCCGATTGTAACCTTACACCAATCTCTTCGCTATTGTTCTCTTTTTTTTCTATTTCTCTTCGAATTCTCATTGTTTTGTGTGGCGCATTTATGTTGGCGCTCTCTTGTACCAATATTTATGTGTTCAAATAAATAAATAAATATTTCTGGCTACCACTATCGGGATAGTCATCGCTGATGTGCCACCTGGCGTTCTCCCTCTGCTTTTCAAGCGTGGACTCAAGATTGGTTACATCGCTTTCAGCTCGCTGTTGTGGTTGTGTACAAGAACCTCCTTTTAGAGTAACTGTCTGGACTCGGATCATCCGATTGTTTGCGTTTCAGTTGCCAACAAATTCATCGCCCCAAATGGGCCAATGTCTCCAAATCGGTTGCAACTTGTGTTACAACTAAATATCAAACCGAGCTAGGTTCAAGGGTGTCAACCCACCAGAATGTTGGCTTTCGTTATGGTTGATGATATATTGACCATGTCTTCACTCTCCACCAAATGTTAGAACACCGTCCTACTTATCATAGGCCAGTAATCATTGTGTTTCTTGACTTCAGGGCCACCTTCGATTCGTTGGACAGGTTTGTTCTCTGGGATTGTCTATTGAAAAAGAGTGTGCCTGAGAAGCTTATTGACATCTTGGAAACCCCTGTATACAAACACCTCTCTCCACTGTTTCATTCAAGCAGTTGGGTTAGGCGGGGTTGCCTAACCTTTTTCAACTTTGCTATCGATGACGTTCTGGAAACAGCGCAGATGGATGTACGTAATGGTGGTGTGGATCTGTTGTGTGGAGAAAGACTTCTCGACCTCGAGTATGCGGATGATATTGCCTGACTGTAGGATGATACTCAAGCCATGCATTCCGCACATAATCAGTTGGAAATTAGTGTCCATGGGTATGGTATGTTCTGTGAATCTTCTAAGTGCAAATCACCGAGTTGAGGATTTTAGACGACTCTGCATTTGATCATCGTTGTCCCCGAAGGATTGCTGACACCTAGTGGCAACATCATGTTGGTAATGCAGAGGTTCGACATCTCCTATTCGGGAACAAAGATGACGATTCAACCGGTGTCACCATCTTCAAACATCGACTTTGGCGGCTTGAACATGCCCTTCGAGTTTCGTCTCAGAAAATTACACTTTGTTAATTATTCGCCGACGCTGGGGCTGGGTTGGAAAGGCAGGGAGGTGGCCAGTGTCTGGCATGGTGTCGTGGTATGAAAGAAAACTGTACAGGACTGGCTTCTGTTGGTCCTGCACGACTCATTGGTTGGGGTCCTAGAGATGGTGTGACACAGTGACTAGGAACGTTACCGGATATTGCTCATAGTGGAAGTTAGTAGCGATCCTGCTGTAACTTTTCTTTTAATTTCTACATAAAAAGTGGACGTAACTTTAACTGGAAGAATTTTTTCGGGTTGTACACTGGCTAACTGAACTGTTTCTCCCATTATTATTATTTCACTCATACAATTATTTCTGTTCGTTGTTCTTTTTATTGTACACATTTTCGTTTCTCTATCTTTTCACAACCTCATTGTTATTTTGTGGCGCATATGTATTTGGCGCCCTCTTGTACTAGTGTTTACCAGTGTTCGAATAGTGAAGTAATAATAATAGTAATACAAACTTACTTTGATATGAAGTTATCCATGTATAATGACTTTAAAATATTATCTTACTGCTGATAAAATGCCCTAGATTTTCACGTTTCTGATCAGCACAATCAATATTTTAGGCCAATTTGATAAGGGTTTTCTTGTTAAGCAAATGTTAGGCTCAAAAGTGCCCCCAAGTGCCCTGGTACGACCGAGGGTGGGGAGAGTCAGCTCTCTTTCGAAATGCTCTCCCATGGCCACGCATATAGCCACTACCAAGGAAGTTCTACTCACTGCCTTCTTGCGGTTAAGTTGTTGTTTACGAAATTGAGAGGACAATCAACAAAGTTAACCTTAGTTTTTTTTACTTTGATTGAACTTTAAACGGCATGAATTCATTTTCTTATCAGATTTTAAATGTCTCTGAAAACAACAAGACGGCTTACCGGGATTTTCTGTTTATAATATCGAACCAAGTTAACACTCAGCTATTTAAGGCACCTGTTTACGATGTCTCTACGCTTTTATTTTATGAAATTCAACGGGTATCGTGGGGGCAATTACTATTTTATGGTAACAGAACTATTGTTCACTAATAATCCATAATGAGGAACATAAAATCTTACTTTTTGAATCATATAATTTGTAAAGAATGCTTAGCATTCAGCTGGTAGTTTTATACACTTATTTTTCTGGATTTAATTTTTACGCATTTACATAGGTCTCCAGTAGTGCGGTTGTAAAAGTGATCAATATTACTTGACTAGATACATATGCTTTTAAGTAAGAACTATATATAACAGTGTAAATATTACTAGTGATAGAAATGGTTTAAGTGCTTAGTTTTCAACATCTAGATCAAGAGTTTGATTCTCATTTTGTTTACCAAGGTTTGGATATCCAAGCAACATCATCAACTCCCATACATATGGTTTGGTTAATAGTCGATTACATTGGTGTGTATGCATATATGAGTTGTACTTTTATCATTCCTAGTTAGGATCGAATTTGCCACCTACAGGTTTTGTAATTTGTTAGTTTGAGGCTATAATTTGTTGACTTCACTTACTCGCTACTCTCTTGTCCTCTTATGTTTTGTTTATCAGTTAATATGTACCGAAGAGGTGCTAAACGATGGAAAAAGAAATTTTATTTATTGCATGGTCATCAGTTTGCTGCCAGACGATTTAATCGGGTAAATTCACTAGTATTTTTTAGGATTGCTTTTTATCAGTTACCAACATGACACAGCTCATAATGGATCTTACTAGCTCAGATTTACTAAATCTTTATCTTCCTCTATATCTTATTTTTAATATTCCCTCATATATACTTTTTGAAATAATATTCTCAGTGTATTATCCTTTAGCCTTCTACTGATGCAACTAGTATTTCAACTCCTTTGGGATTCGTCTTGTTAATTCCATCACACTGTACTAATATAGTATGGCAGCTTGGCCCAGAATCTATGTTATGATTGGTTATCTTTCTATGAGAACCGGTGCTTTCAACGTGGTATGGTCGCCGGCTCCAGTATTTTGCGGGAACAAATGGCGTATGAACCAATCGTTGGTCACCGGCTACCATGGGACTGCATCTCCTCACGATGCTCCACTGCCTTGTGGGTCAGACCTTTGGGTTGAAGGCTCGGGGTGTGGCCCCCTAAGAAAACCACCTGTTTCGGTCTGGGCACCCGGGCAGTATCACAGCCCACACACACAAATATGGTGTGGCGCATATTTATTTGGTGCCCTCTTATGCCAATATTTATGTGTTGAAATAAAAAATAAAATCTTTCTATGAAGATGTTTCTGTTATAACTAATACCCGAACAAAATTTTTATGAGTGTCCTATTGATTGTGTTGCACCTACTCAAATTTATGCACATGTTTAAAGATACCCAGGGCATTGTCATCTCAGATAACAAAAGTCATTGTCTTTGATTGTAGTGATATCCAACAACTGATAAAGTTATCTATTTTTTGGTCCTAACTTCCCAATGAATCAATCTATTATTCAGAGATTCTTTATTGTCTAAAGGTTTAAGTAAATAAATCGGTCACACGAGTAGTCATCGATCAGCTAGTTCGTATTATTGTATTTCATTAATCTGTCTGTATAGCAGTCATTTATTTAAAAAAATTGCAAACTCTGTTTCTCCACAAAATCATCCTTCATAACATCATCCAGTAAGTAGTAACATTGTCTCTTCAGGAGTGCCTTCGAATGATCGTGGCATTTGTATCTTTCTATGTAGTGTATTACTCTTCTCTAGGTTACTTCTTTTTTATAATTTAGCGTCCCAACAAAGAATGCTGTTTTAAAAGAGCAACTCACCATGACTATTCACATATTCAATGGGTAACGGAAACATTTTGACCGACCGAAATAAATTACTCCGATCTAGTCAGCAGATATAACTTGCTTTATGCCATTTTAATTAATATATATCTTTCGTTGTTTTTCTCATCTTAGAATGCCGTATGTGCTTACTGTAAGGAACGTATATGGGGTTTGGGACAACAAGGGTTTAAATGTATTAATTGTCGTCTTCTACTTCATCGTCGTTGTCAAGGTGGCGTGCGTCATAAATGTGGTGAAGCATTCATAAGACCGACCTATCAAAACATGCGTTCAATCTCTACATTTTCCACCGGTTCCACTCCTATTGTGTGGGATAATAATGGAAACAGACCTACAACCATAGCAACAGATCTATCTTCTGGGACAAGTAATACACTCCCATCTCGTCTTCCTGTCACTATTCAACCATGCAAAGATGATTCAAAGCCACCAAAGCTAGAAAAAATCATTGGTTTAGGTGAAAAAGAATCAAATCGTAAGTCCTAAGTTTTGAGAATGATTTTCTTCACAAATTGACATCAGTTGAGAAGTCATGATGTAGCAATAACCATTTAGTAGATAATTCATCGTAATTCACGATCCACTAATGATCACCTACGTCCATACGTAGAATCAAATCTTAGACCAGTCAGTATATCATAAGCAACGAAGGATTTGACATAAATGTGCGTCGATTTAAGTTGCCATACTTCACATTGGAACAACAAGTGAGAAAATTAACGAAATAAACATTAGTTAAATTAATAGCAAAATACTAAGTGATAGGGAATACAATATTAAAATATATGAAATAATATCACAACTCATAATTTAAAGGAAAATAAAGAATGGAAAAGTTTGCTGTATTACGTCCGATTTTGTATCGCACCATCTAGTCTCCAACCATAGATATTAGTTTATCTTGTGAATTACAACTAGAAACTAATTATCAGAGCAGTCGCTCACACTGTAATACCGCCATCTTGAGAAAAACTATATCACAGTCAACTGCTCTTTCTCGCTTTTCAATCTAACTATAACAACCGTAAATTCATTGGTAGTTGAAGGCCCGACAGATACGTCCTGTAGAAGCTGTTGATGAGTAGTGAGTAACTCAAACTTCAGGGTAGTTGCGTTGCTCTTTAATGACTGTCACGAAATTTGAAAACGAATAATTGACCCTTACTTCAGATATGTTCCACCTTATTCTTTTCAGAAACATCAGACAAACACTTTACGCCAACATCCAATACAAAAAATAATGTAAGTATTTTCATTAAAAATTCCGTAAATACATGCTCTCTTGGTTCCATATCTATCACGTTTGCTTATTTGTTATGATAAAATAATATTTACTTTTAAGGAAAAAGTGTATTTCTTTCAAACCTATTAATTATGATAGTGCTAGCTAACTCATATAAGGGTATTATCTCCTAAGAAAAATACGGTAGAACCATATAAGATGATGTTCTATGCAATTCTTCACTCAAAATAAATAATATAGTCATATTGTCAAATATTTCTTCACTCTAAACAAGCTCTGTTGTTGTAATTAGCCTTCCATTCACGACATATAATATACGAATACTATGTTCGTTGATGGATGGTTTTACATAGGGTATGTGACGAAGTCTCAGCACGGATACAGAAGGCTTGACTAGCTTTTGCCAACTTGCGTCATTTATGGCGTAGGCGAAATATCCGTCTATCAACCAAAGAATGTGTTTACTGTGCAGCAGTTCGTTCCGTCCTACTTTATGGCAGTGAAACATGGCTGGTAAGAGTAGAGGATATTCGTAGGTTACTAGTATTTGATCATAGGTGTCTTCGAAATATTGCTCGTAAATTGTGGGACCATCGAGTAAGTAACGCAGTTGTTAGGAAACGCGTACTAGGTAAGGATGGCAAATCGATTGATGAAGTGGTGAAACTTCATTAGTTGAGATGACTGGGACACGTGTTACGTATGCCCAACCACCGACTGCCTAGACGTGCGATGTTCAGTGGTATAGGAGTAGGTTGGAAGAAAGTTAGGGACGGCCAGACCAAGACATGGCACAAGTTCATGAAGTCACTGACAAGTGAACTGAGTCATGTTGGTAGGTGTAGACTACCTGGTTGGGGATAGCAAGATGATAGCAACCGATGGTTAGAGACCCTGAATGGCATGGCTCAGGTGCATCCACTCTTTGTGTTCTCCCAAATTCTAATATCCTGATTCCTCCTTGTCTCTTTTTTTCTCATCCCAAATTTATTTCACTGGATTATACTCCTTGAATAACATCTCCAAACCCTAATCTTTCCGATTACTGCTTATACTCTTACTACCTCTACCACTATGGGATTTGAATCGACAACTGCATCTCTGTGCTAATGTGGTATGGTAACTGGAACTGATGTACGTACGTACGAAGTTCTACGTTGCTATTGACTGACATTTGAAAGGTAATTCGTAAAATAAGGCACATCTACTCAAAATATTCCATGAATTAATGTTTCTAATCTCCGTTTGTTTTACTTATGCTAAATTTTTTTTAGCTCAAATCAGGTTCAGACAACTTAATAATTGAAACAAGTGGTGGTGTTCACCCTAGTAGTGTACCAGTTCCCGTTTCAATCATCACTGATAAAGTTGATGATAAGTCCATACCAATCATAGAACAGCGCATTATAGATATTCCTGATATTCCAATCACTTCTGGACGGGTTGGTTTACATGATTTCAATTTACTCAAAGTGATTGGTCGTGGTAGTTATGCTAAAGTATTTCAAGTAGAGCATAAACCAACTAATCGTATATATGCAATGAAAGTTATTAAAAAAGAAACTATTCTGGATGAAGAGGTACGTTTGGTTTGTACTTTCGGTAATTTAACAAATGCTTTTGGACTAACGGTTTTCCATACCTTTTGCAAATATGTAGAACGAAAGTCACTAAATATAGACTTAGTTTTAACAAATGTTTATCCATCATTCTCTGGCAGTGGTTGTATGCACATGACCATATGAGAGCACTTCGAGGGGGGTAGTATACTTTCCCCACTCTCGAGTGTACCAAGGCATTTCGGGACTGTCAGATGTTCACTGAATATATGTTTCGCAATGCTTCGGAATTTACTCAGAGTTTCGACTTTGCTGCATCGAACATGTGAATATCTAGGTTCATTAACTATAATATATGTAAAAATTAGACATAAATCGATCTTCACCACTTTACATTTTACTGGTTCCATTATTACCTATGAGTTTTTCTGTGACTCATTTGTTTACTGACAGTGTGCATATAAACAAAGCACTAAACATAACATCAAGCTCCAAAACCCAACCGCTTCTATAGTTTCCGTTTTTCTCTAGGTTTGAGTAATTTTAATAAATGGATATCTCATGAATTCAGCCGCATCACGTAGGCCAAAATACTCCTTATCACTTTTAAAAACATATTAGTATCCGATATTGTTTTATTTATTGCGATATAACTATACCAAATGAGTCTGCCATTTCGTGAGTCTAAATTACTTTAACAAGGGCATATAAGTGAAGGCTGAGCACACAAACGTTAGTATGATTGTTGAATATTACTAGTTGTAGGAAGCAATTTCCCACAGATTCAACTCTAAGCTAATCTCTAGACTGTCGAGTAGAGTCTTGGTTTAGCCAAAGTCAGAACAAGCAAGCTATTTGGCTAGATAAACTTTATCTGTTTCTAAAACATAAATTAACATCGTTAGTGTACAAACAAACAGTACAGTCTATTAATACAGGGAAAACAGAGACAAATAACATACCGAACAGTAGCCAGAGAATAGGAAAAATGAGTCAACAAGCCAATATTGTTTTACAATGAACATTAAACTGTGATTGGTTAATAAAGAGATACAGTCGTACAAGGTCAAAAGAAGTTGATGTGGTGGTGGGCGTTTCCCTTATTATTGGTGGGTTCGTCTATCAATCACATTTTACACTAGTTTTACGTTACAATTGTACTGCAAGTTTCAGTGCACTAATTCACTAACTGTTAATCTTAGTCACATTAAGAATCATAAACTTGATTAAGATCTTCAGGATAATAAAAGTTGACTTTTATATAACCCCTTAAGCGAAATGACTCAAAGACCATCACAATAGTCCGAATCCATCTTATTTTTGTCTTATAAATCATGGACATTTGGTTACTATTCATTTAGCTCCCATTATTTATTTTAAAATGTCCTTCTAGTTAATCTTCTGTTTGTTTACTGTTAGAATTCATTGTAATTTAAAGCAACGCTTCTGTATTCAAGGTTCTGTTTGATGTTGTTAGTCTGAGGTTCATTGTGAAATCGATTATCATTGTTGAAGCTTTGTGCATGCAAACAGACGACGGTTTCAGGAGATATTAAATAACAGTAATCTTAAGTATTGTATCACTGGTACTACCAGTTGGTAATCGAATGGAGAAGTTTTGGTTGATAGAAACTAATAAATGCAAAAAAGGAATGGGAATTACGGTTTATTCTAATAAAGGTGAGGATTAAAAGGATGCTAATAAAAAATAACTATCAGTTCTTTTAAGAATGACTTGTATCATGAATTAAGAGAGAATTGAGTACAAATACAAGTGATAGAAAACGTTAAGGTATTAAACTAAATACTGATGAAAACAAGACTACACACAAAACAAATTAGTATATATTTACTTTACAATAGATCATTTGAGCGAAGTTTAAAATAATTTGAAATGTATTAAAGACAATAAACTACATTTCAAGTTATATTTTTTATGCCTCATTGGAATGGAATTAGAGTACGTAAAAATATAACAACACCACTGATTTTTTTATAATGAATAGCTACACCTCCAGAAAAAGCAAGTAATTAACGACAAGATTTAGAGATCTGTAGAATATCGTAAGGTGGAATCTAAGTCACAGTGTCGTACGGAAAATGGAGTTATTACTAAGCAATAAATGGGGCACAATTGTGTTCTAAGTAAAGCCAAAGGGAATGAAAAAGTAGTAATTAGCATAATAAAAGACTGAACACCATCAACAGAAACGACACAAAATAATAACTACTGGTTTGATGAATGGATTCAACTCCCAGCTGTGATTTAGAAGAAGCAGATAATTCATTGAGTACGATATGATTATAAGATGACGCCCTTACTAAGTTGGAATTCATTGGATATATAAACTTTACCATATTAATACATGGCTATTATGTAAAACAAAAACTTCTACATGATAGTGAACCAGTTGAAAAACGCGTTCCGGTGTTTTCTACTACTCAGGGTATAAAATTGTTAGATGATTATCATCATTGATATGGCAATCAAACACTAAAAACATCGTTGCTTCTGTTTACTTAGATCTACATAGTTCATACTATGGAATTCAGTTCGATTTATTATTCGGTTTGCATTCTAATGAACGACAAAAGTACAAATTCGTATCACATATCTTTCAAGAATTGAACAAAACACTTTTTAATATAAACTAATCCATTACAAACATTCGATTTTATCAGCATTTCGACGAGTATTTTCAGATTCAGTACAGGTTTGCTTATTTCGTCTGAGCCAATATGGCGGAGACTACAGCAATCCTCATCTTCAATAGCCCCAAATGACCTATTAAGAGTTTGCTCTACAGTTCCATCGGTTGGCTAAATTAGTTTTTTATCGGTCATAGATGTAACCTCATTTGACATTTTTTAGTCATCATTCTACGTAGAAATTAACATATTAACTAATTATTTTGGAAACACGTGGGTCAGGTGACCTACAACTTGCGGAAGCCTTAGTGACCTAATTTTCCAAATTGTAGCATTGAATGTCCACAGTTCCATCATGAAAGATCTTCCTAAAACGAACAGTGTGACAGAAGAGTAACATGCTCATCCAAACATACAAGATAGTCAATGATGTTCTAGAAAAAGAATGGAGTCCAGGTGGATTGGAGATCGAAAAACTCAGTCCACTGGTTCAACAAAAGCATGCGAAAATGTGAAAGGAGGTAACGACATGGATTAAATTGTCTGTGGAGGACTATGGGAACAAACTGTTACTAACGACTTTACGTGGTATGGTATAAAATTTGAACTCATTCATTTAAACATATTAAACTGTGTTATAAAGATTTATGAATGTAAATAACACTTAGATGTTCATTATATTATTCAATCTTTCTGTTGATAATCTTTCATTACACGATTAAATCTCCATTTTTTGATGCTCGCACCGATACAAATTCCCCTTATTGAAGGATACTGGAAAGTGAGTTCTATGAGTCCAAATAAATTATGGTGAAAAAAACTTCCTGTGAAGTAAAAAACCCAGAGAACTATGATTTTTCTAAGCAAGAGTACATTGCTTCTGAAGTAGCCTCTGTTCTACAGATGAATCAGTTTAAAATCAGACAGCAAAACTCAACCCCAGGTAACTAAGTTTTTACTTGAATATTTTGTAAAAAAAAAACTACCGTCTTAGGGAACTGATAATATATTAATTCACATAAACTAGACAGTATATGTAAAACTCGTTCTTCTCATACTTCCAATACTAGGATATTGATTGGGTTCAAACAGAAAAACATGTATTTGAATGCGCTACTAACCATCCATTTTTAGTTGGTTTACACTCGTGTTTCCAAACTAGAAGTCGGTAAGTTTCTAAAATCAATATAATCCATAAAATTCGTATTTTGTAACCTCATACATTAACCCTATTGTCTAAATGCTGTACGGTTTTATGGAGAAAACTATCCTAAAGGACATTATTTCTAAGGGTCTATATTTTCCGATTGCTAGTATTTAAGATTACATTTTTCTCTTTTTTTGTTTCGATATGGACCCTTATAGTGGATATGGTAACATGAATTTTCCATGTAGTTGACTTAGTCCCACCGAAATGATTTTCTGAGTGCGACTACTAAAAAAGCATTTTCCTGATTATCATTGCTAATTTATTTATTTCAACACATAATATTGGTACAAGAGGGCACCAAATATATATGCGCCACACCATATTTGTGTGTGTGGGCTGTGATACTGCCCGGGTGCCCAGACCGAAGCAGGTGATTTTCTTAGGGGACCACACCCCGAGCCTTTGACCTAAACGTCTGACCCACAAGGCAGTGGAGCATCGTGAGGAGATGCAGTCCCATGGTAGCCGGTGACCAACGATTGGTTCATACGCCATTTGTTCCCGATGGATACTGGAGCCCATGTACACCATTGGTTTGGAATCCGGTTAGAGCGCTGGACATTCACTTTTCGTCCTCTCAATTTCGTAAACAACACCCCCACCACGAGAAGGCAGTGAGTAGGACTTCCCTGGCAGAGGCTGTATACGCGTGGCCGTGTGAGAGCATTTCGAGAGGGTGGGCGAACCCACCCCACTCTCGGCCATACCAGGGCATTTATTGCTTAATGATCAAGTCCATTTATTCTCAATTGCATATTTAAACCTCGTATCACCCAATTCAGCTTCTAAAAACGTGAATATTATCTCTGGTTCGTTTGTTACGATATTGTTGCTCAAGACGGAGTATGAGAACCATGTACTTGGTTACTGAGTTGTATTACTGTTTGATGGTTTAACCGAGTAACAACTGTCAATAAATAATTATCTGTATCTATAATCGTGTCTATCACTCAGGATCTAAGAATATCGTTCAGTTCACTCATATAAGTTGGAAAACACATTGCTATTAGTTTTCGAATTTGACTAAATCCGGAGCGATATATCATAGTATCACTGATTTTGTAATAAAACGTTATTTAATTTATTTTTAATGGTTAATTTGATGTGGATAAATCAAATATTGATTTGCACCATCTCAATATTGATCAGTCTTTTTACGAATTTATTCTGAGTTTTTGATCTTATTTTATTCCATGATATATTTGTAAACAACAGTGAAGTCAGCTGATAATGACGGCATTTTTTATACATGCCAATTACTCGAATAATGAGTGATGTGCTTATTTCATTTTAAGTTTTTATATGTCAAGAAGTTATTTAACATCCTAAATAATATTAATTTATAATCTTAATAAAGTGCCTTTACACTATTCGCATAAGTCAGTCCATATTTTAAAATCATATAAAGTGAAAGGTTTTATTAAGTTATTGATGCGATACACATCATATTCGTGTATTTCAGTCGCGTGTGTTGTATATGGTAATAATTCAACATTTATTTGCAATAAGTGGTTTTGTACTGATTTCATGATGACACGCCTATTTAGTAATAACTTTCTACGAGATAAATTTTTTGAAAGTTCTGGTAGCGAGCATCTAAAGTCAACCATTTCAAATAGGACTGTTAATTACTGACGAGATCGATAAAGTATTGCGATGTCACAAAGTGATAGATAGATAGTCGGACAAGTGAACTGATATACATCGACTTCATATAATATAATTTAGACAGTAGTAAAACCAGAACGGTAACTAGTCAGTTCACTGGGTTAAGTCCTAGGGCATTCAGTTTCCATTCAAATAATTCTATGTAAATATCTGTAACTGTGTTGTGGTTAAGTAATATGAGTTCAAATATCTAGAGTAGAATTATCTCAGATATTTGAAAAGTGATTTTTCTGGTTCAAATCAACAACTGTCAAAAATAACATCTACTCATAAGCAAATAAAACCAAACCTAAAAATCTCCACAGTCTTTGGTAATCATAAATAAATAATGACTCACATTAACTCGGCGCTCAAATATTGTAAAACTATTCGTTCAAACTTAGACGAAAGTTCTTATTTATCATAAATAAATGTTGTTTGGAATAATGCATGTTGAAGTAAAAAAATATACCGTCACAACATTAATTGTTGATATTTATTTAGATTATTATCCATATCTCCTCTTCCTGTATGTGTTAACACTATTGGTTATTTGTACTCTGTGCTTAGTTCATCCAAAAATTTATTTGTTTTATGTATAAATTTATGGAAAATCCCAAAAGCATAAATGATATGCCAAACTAACCTTGTTCAATGAGTGTTGTAGGCTTCTAAACGAAAATCCTGTTAAATAAAAACTTATGCTGACCCTATGTACAATAACGTGTAGAATTATGGCTCGTAGTTTTAGACATGACATTTATAGAAAAATCGAACTATCTATCGGTTATTTCAATAGTAAACGTTTTTATAATTTACCCATACTTAATTGCCTTGTTGTTTTCCCTGGTTATCGTTTTTTTGCAAGGGGTTGTTAATTCCATGCTCAATCCTCTTTACCTAGGCTTTGGAACTGGCATGAACCCTAGGAGGGTTTCAGGTGGAGTTTTGTTATTCTCATAGATAATGGTAATTGTTTTTAGTATGATTAGTTAATCAGTGATCCAGATTTTGTGTTATACTTCATTCTTTCTATTCTTTTTTTTTCAAAATTAACTTATAAACAATAGGTTATTCTTTGTCATTGAATTTGTTAATGGTGGAGACCTAATGTTTTATATGCAACGTAATCTTCGTTTAGCAGAAGATTACGCACGATTCTATGCAGCTGAAATTTGCATTGCATTAAATTTTCTCCATGAACGTGGTATTATTTACCGAGATCTCAAGTTAGACAATGTTTTGATGGATAGCGAAGGTCATATTAAACTGACTGATTATGGAATGTGTAAAGTAAGGGAAAATATTAACTTTTCTCGTTTAATGTTTATGTATGATTTTAACTTGACTTTTCGATTAACAATACGTAGCTATACTGACTAATCTTGATCGTTGTCTATTACAGTATGTTCGAAAAATAATGTTTCGCTGCTTTTTATCACGGTCGATATCATTCAGGTCATTCAATATGAATAAATGTATGTTTAGCGCGTTACGATCAGAAAAACTAAGTGACATTGTATTCCGCGTAACCTTTTTGAAGTAATAGTTGCTACCGACTTAATTTTTTCATGAAACAGTAAAACTTTCCTTAAGCTATTATACATGTAGTTATTCTCTTCATTACTGTATCAGTGTTGATATTCAGTCAGTCATACACAACATAAAACCTGGGACATCTGTACATTGGTTCAAAGATGCCTTACCCTAATAACACAATTAGATGAAACTGTCAAAGAAAGTCTCAAAATGGTGGAGGTAGTAACATTTTTATTAGTAGTCGAAAAGATTTGGCACCGAAGATACGTTCGAAGAAAATAGTAAAATAAATTCACGGAGAATTTAGAAACTTAAGATTTAAGGGAAGACGAATAGTGAAAACACCATAATTGCGATCGATTCTGAGCCATATCACCTATTGTCTCCATCCATTGGTTTTGATAATCATGGGGACGTCAATTAGGTTGTTTGCACGTATCTAAATGCCTGAGTTCAATTCACAATGAATCCATAGACTAATCCCATTTCTTGACTAGGCCACACATCCATGGTTAGTCATTCCAATCAAATTAAAAGCGGAACAGATTCCTTATATTATTTAAAAAGTTGGAAAATAGGTAATCTAGAAGTTTAGATAAATTGAATGTTTTTATTAAATTTATTTGATATGATCAGTTAGCATCATTAAGTTTGTTACGTATTTCCATGATATAACTAGCGTAAATCAAATGAATAGAAATATATTCAATAATTCTTTAATTAGATTCTCAGCTAGTAAGAATTCTAAAGACATATACTCATGAGCATATCACTTCGTGACAATTTATTCACTTTCAAAATCATATTTTGGAAGTTATGACATAGACGACGATCAGTACGTTACAAACTCATTTTGAATTATTATTCTCAACTCTAATAAAACGCTGTGTCAAAATAAGTATTTTATTCTACTACTTAGTTAAAGTATTTGCCTGAAGACTAAGTGATAGTAGCTAGTATTATTAACATTGATTGTACACTACAAATTCTTCTCGCTTATTTTAAGCATATAGTACACTATTTAAGATATAAAACAAGACAATCCAACTTAATAAATAATATATTATTAATCGTATCTAAATTATTATTTATTTAATAGGAAGGAATCATCGGAGATATGACTACAACTACATTTTGTGGTACACCGAATTATATAGCTCCTGAAATACTGAAAGGAGAAAGTTATAGTAAGTTTCTTTTTATATGTGAATAAAATAAAGACAGTGATCGAGATAAATTAGTATGGATTCATTAATTTTACAGATATCTGAGCTTCCTATAACCTAAAAATTTTAGTAATTATTTAAAAAAAGATATACATACTTTATTACCATAAAAACAGTCTTCGTCAACGAACATAAGGTAAAAAAAGAATTAATTAATCTAGAAAAGCTACAAGAGATATTCTTATAGTTGCTTATTTACATGTTAGTATTCTCAAAAAAAAACAACTGAAATACACCTGAAAATAGGCCTCTAGAAATGAAAAATCAATGTCAAAAGTTACACAATAATAACAATTAAAAAAAAACATGAATTGATTAAAAGTGAATAAAACAGGCTAAGATAAAATACAAGAATAAAGAAGAATTTATTTCTCTCTATTTATTACTTTTTTTCATTGGTAAAAGCTTTCCTGTTATAAAATGATATCAAGTATGTACATTGTTTTTGAAATTATTAATACAATTGGAATCCAGGACTCACTTTTCATCCTGTTTGGGACTCGTCAGCTGGATGTACCTGCATCTCAGAGTTGATGGTCACTCTGGGACCCGAACTCAGTACCGTTCGCCTCAAATGCCATCACGTGTTATCCACTTAGCTACTGAGTCCTGATAGTCACTTGCTTATAATGCTTGTAAATTAGGGCAATATCGAGGCATACGCACAGTATGCACATATGCCAATAAGAGACTGATCAATTTCAGTCCTAAAACATCAGTGGGAAGATTCAAGTGAAACAACACCAAGTGTATTAATACAATTATTCTTAAATTGTAAACATTTGAAGAGACTGTATAAAATAAATGAATATACACTATTCTACTACTATAGAGTTTTATTCATCTAATATTTTTTATCTAGATAATATATTCTTTCATCAATCAGTCTGTAAATAATTTAAAGTGACTTATGAGTTAAATCATTTGGATTTTAGTTTCAAACATTAAATTGTAAGGTATTTAGATTACTACCATTATAAAATGTTGAACTTCAATTTGTATAATTGACTACTAACATTATCTCTTTCATACTAAATACTTACTTTAATTGATTAAGATGACCCTGATATTTTCCCAAACTAACTTCGAATTTTTCGTTATTGATATTTATTCTTTTTTAATATACGGGTATAAAATTGACTCGATTTTGCTAGTATTATAGACTTCTAAATGAATCAGTATTCAGCTGAGATTTGAGTAAGCTTTTCAAGAATGGTTCACATAAATTAAATAACGAACATGTTTTATGAATGAACTTGCAGATTGTTATAATTTTCAGTTTATTATTAAAATGCTTTTTAAATAGCAATTAATCTATATTTATATATCTATTCAAAACTAATTTCTATTGTATTAACTAACATTCAACAGTCTGTGTGTTTAAAAAAAGTCGAAATGTTAAGAAATGTGAGGTTAGATAAATATATTTTGCAGAAAGTCGAATAGTTTTACGGAGCTATGAAAATAACTGTAACTAAATAACTCATTCTGTGTACTACTTACCTACTTGAGCCTGTTACATCTCTCGAGGTACTGGGTGCCGACCAATGATCTCCAAATAACTCTATCCTAAGCTCTTCTTTCCAGTTTTTACCAAGTACTGTTCGTCCTTTTGTTACCTTCATCCCATCCCAGGTACTGTGTTCTTTGGTTCACCTCTTTTACTTATGCTTTAAAGATTCCAAGTTGGGGTTTACCGTATGATCCAGTTTTGTGGGGGTTTTTTTAAACTGTCTTATCTACTCTTAGTGTCTTTTCCTAATCTCCTCAAATGATCGAATAGATTATTACTGATGACCTCTGACCAATGAATATGGAGTATCTTGCATACATAGCTGTTAATAAATATCTGTACTTTTTTGGCGACAGTGGTGGTAGCCCTCTGAGTTTAATCTATATACAATAGAAGAGTTTCTGACTTTGATCTTGTTTGGGAGTCTTTTTGGGTTTCAGATATTCTTCAGTTGTGGGTATGTCACCCTTTCTTTGCCAATGTGTGCCTTTATATCTGCATCAGATCTTCCTTCCTTATCAATAATGCTCCGCAGGTATATAAAGGTTCCCACCTATTCCACAGCTTCGCTATCAGCAGTGATTCGGTTGCTACTCCTCCCTGTGTTGTATTTCAAGAGTTTTGCTCCTTTTTAGTGTTAAGGCCCACTACTGTTATAGCCCCTGTTACACTTACTGTCTTCATCTACATTTGTTGCTGTATACAAAATAGATAGGCTTAGTTATCTGCGAAGTACAAATCATCCGGCTTTATTCAATGTGTCTACCATATTCCATGCATTTTCTGAGATATGAAGTTCGTCATAATTCAATCGATAACTGTCAAAATAAGGAAGGCTAGAGTGGGCAGTTTTGCTTTACATCGGTTTCCACATTTAATGTATTTGTGAGCTACTCTTCTTGCAGAACTTTGCAATTCAGCTTTTCGTAGGAGTTCCGTATAATGGTGACGGTCCTCCCAGGTACCCTCTAGTTTGAAGATTCCATAAGGTCCCCCCATCCACGCTTTCAATTACTTATAACCAAGGAAGTCGATATTTAGTGATACCTTCCTTTTTCAATTGATTATTCAATAATGATGTACAGTGTCGTGATTCGGTTGATTCATAATCGATGCCTACGAAATACCGTTTGTTGGTTTTCAAGTTGATCGTCTTTTGGCTCTTTCATCCTGTTCACTAACACTTTTGACAACGGTGTAATGCCTCTTTTGTACTCACTAAGATCTTTCTCTGGTTCTTGATAAAGTATCCCTCTTTGTGGTCTCTTGCTATTTATTCTTTTCGAATATTTCTGAAAATAAAATAAAGCACCTTTCCAGTTGCCTCTAATACAGTGCTTGATGTAATCGATTCATAAACAGTTAAATCTGGATATATGCAAAAATGTGAGGTAAAAGTTAAAATGAAGTAATTCCAACATTTCTCCTGGCAGTTTGGTTCAACTGATATGCGTGTCTTTTTAGCATGCACATAATTGATACAATGATGACTAATAGTAATATAATTTGATCGATAAAATAGGATCAACCCCAAGGGTACGTCATAATGGGATTGGCTACTATTTCTCCCTCAATTATGATCAGTGTTGTTAAGTTGCCAATTACGATTTTCAGTGATAAAAATTATTTCATATTTTATCTGTTGTTTTTGCACTATATCCATTCTCCTCTTAATGGTATTACGTAATCAACTTTTTGAACATTATATATGAATATCTGCTTTGTACTAAATTCCTTTTTCTGTAAATACTATCTAAGTTTATTTTAGTTTCTTGACAGTTATTGTCGAGAAAATCATGTTACTATGGATTCGTCCATCACTTGTCCGCTGCTATGTGATACTGACGTTTACGAGTATTGAATTACTATTGGTTCTGGCATCCCATCATTCAATGTTAGGCTATTGTTCTACATTTTCTTTTTTACACACTTTTTGGTTAACATCAGTATATAGCAAGAATTTCTAGTTAGTGTGGTCACGTTGATGGTAATTTATCTGTCAATTTATTGCGTTCTCTTTGGTTTGTACATTATATATACCAAGTTAATAATAAAAATATTTAGGGGATGTCTGAAATGTATTAACCAGATGGCAGAAGTATTATTCAAAATATATGAATTCAAAATGGTTTGTGAATAATGTAATCCATTTATCTCATAGTTTATCATTACTACTATAATTTGAAATAGTAGTAAATTTTTTTTTGATAATTGTTAAATTAGGTTTCAGTGTTGACTGGTGGGCCTTAGGCGTACTTATGTTTGAGATGTTAGCTGGTCGATCTCCTTGGGAAGGTGTTGGACAGTCAGCTAATCCAGATCAAAATACTGAGGATTATTTATTTCAAAGTTAGTCCTATTTTGTTTTATTAACCATAGTGGGCGTTTTATTTGGATTCTGGCATCTTTGTGATTTGTAGTTTAATTTCCTCTGTATAGCTGTATCATGAATGCAATTATGTGAATCAGTTAATTAGGCGATGAATGGCGCCGAGTCTTACACCAGAATTTCGTCTTCAGAATCGAAAATAGTAGTTGCACGTCCGACGTTTTGTAGCTGTCCTGGCTCATAATCACCAACAACCAGGAGTTTGTAAGCAGAGGTGGATGGTGGCTAGCAGTAGGATCCAGATTACGCGTTTTGGGACTGGTCACCTGAACACACTTATAACTTAAGACAATCCACACAGGATGCACATATACCAATAAGAGACTGATCGATTGCCGTCCTCAACATCAATGGGACGATTCAAACGACGAATATAAAGGTGAACTAGAGGCTTAGTTTTAGTAAGACAACTTTTGTGTTCAGTCGCATAGATACAGGTGGTTTTTATGGATGCTTACAATTCTGAACGAATCACTTCAAAAAGCAGTTCAGTTTACTCAGTTGAACGATTTTTACCGAATGTTCTTCTCTATGGTTGGTGAATACTGACTCACGTACCGAGGTTAAGAAGGGCTTGTAGGGACGTTTAAGTACTAGGTCACTGCGGGATAGCTAGCTGACTAAACCCCAAGTTCTTTGTTATTATTCACCAACCTCTTTGGTTTTTTCATGAGGTATGATGAATTTAAAGTTTTTCAGTATTAATAATAATGGTTAAATTAGTATTGTTCTCTTACCTCTGATCTTCGTAATACTTTATAAACGGTTTAAAAATAATGATAAAAAGTAATGAGGATGGGTTCGTGTTTGTTCAGTTTCTATGTGGTTTACCTTGAATGTAAGTCTGCCTTCGACTCAGGTGATAGGGCTGTGCATTCTAGCTGTCTCAAAATTGTTTTGGTTACGTAGTTTATCAACGCCTTCAGAGATTTGTTCACAAATTCACAATGGAATATAGGTATACTTTATCGTGAACTAGCAACGAGGATAGTCATGGTCGCCTAATCTTCCCATATCTTTTTGATTACCCTATCGGTTGTGTTTTAAAGCAGCTCTATTATAGAAAAAAAATAGCAGTGTAAATCTGCTAATAGGATAAATGCTCCTCAATCTACAGTTTTTGGACTATACCTCCTCTCTGTCCTACACCATACAGTCCACGTAAATTACTTTTGATCACTTATTTCCCAGTGTATGGAAATATACCATGTGTTTTGCACCACCAATGTATGAGGGAATTTTAAGAAATTAGTTGTACTCCGTTTTTATCCACAATTAGTGGCGAGTTATTAAAGAAAACCAAAGGTTTTTTGTATCTGTGTAGTTTCGTAATTGCTAGTGGTATAATAAATGACATCCTGTATGCCAATCCGGGCTTTTTTAGCATCTTCATGACGTTAACCACCTATCAATAAAATGTCCAATGAACGGTTCTGTGGTATAAGAATTTTTAATCTCTGCTTATAAAACCTGACATTTCTGAACTCAATATTTTCAGTCACCGTTGTGTTGAGATGACTATCCCCTTTCTGTCAGCATTTTTTTTACACAAAGCTATGATTTAACATTAACTGTCATCATTGTCAGTATGCGTTTTTTCGGTGGGCGAAATATGTCATGTCATTTAAATAACCACACAACTTTCAAAGAATTCATCTATTTTTCTAATATGAAATAACGATGCGCTTCAAGACTCAACAGTTTATTAGACTTGTTTACTTCCTTACTTACGCTTGTTACCCCTCATAGAGGAGCATAGGCCGCTCACCATGCTACTCTATCCTGGACAATCCTTTCCAGTCGCTATTTATCCCATTTATGTCTGCTCAGTATGTTCCTTGGTCTTCCGCTTTTCTGCTTCCCTCCACAATCCCAAGTTAGCCCTTGCTTCGTGAAGCAGTTTAATGATTTCCACAATGTATGTCCTAGTCACTTCCAACATCATTTTCTAGTTTCTCCCTCAGCTGGAATCTGGTTTATCCTCTCCTACAGTAGGTTGTTGCTGATGATATCCGGTCAACAATCATTCAGTATCTTGCGTAGACAGTTGTTTATTAATACTTGTACTCTTTTGATCATAGTTGTGATAATTCTCCAAGTTTCAGCTCCATACAGTAGAACTGTCTTGAAGTTCGTATTGAGGATTGTGACTTTGATGTTAGTTGACAGTTGTTTTGAGTTCCATATATTGTTCAACTGTAGGAATGTGCCCTCTATTTTACGTCTGAATCGGATCCTCCTTGTTCATCGATGTTGCCGACCAGGTAGGTACGTGGACATTCCCATCTCTTTCAGAGCTTCTTCATCAAGTATGATTAGTTTGGTATTCTCCGTGTTGTGTTTGGCGCATATATATTTAATGCTTCCTTGTACCAATGTTTATGTGTTCAAATAAATAAATAAACTCGTTGAGTCTCCTAGAATAATCAATGTAATCTTATTTCGTGAGACTTTATTGTATCAAATTTTTTTAACAGTTAACTGTATTAAAAAGAATGTATATATATTTATCATTCTGTTTAAATAGTCATTCTCAGTCGTCCAATTCGTTTTCCACGTTCTATTTCTGTTCGTGCAACCAGCATACTTAATGCATTTCTCCAAAAGGTTTGTCAATTCATTTCTTATGATTATTACTATTGATTGTTTATCAATAGGAAGACTGCAATTTTCTATTTTATCAGTTAGCATAATATTGTTAGTTAATTTAAATATCGATTGCTAATTACAAAAAAATCATCTCCAAATTTTATCCAATAGAAAAATCTCACTCAGTTATCACTTTCTATATTCATACAGTAAATGTTGAAATCACATCTTTTGTTTTTCCAAGATTATTATACTTCAACTCTAGGTAGCGAATCTAAATTAAAACATCTAACTGTGCCAAAATTTGTATGACATATCTACTAACTTAATTACTATACTGTTAATTCAATCATACACTTATTCTTTTACAATATTTTGTGAAATTAATTTCATCACTCATAAATGTAGACATATGTACTTCGTTTTAGTTTTAATTCACGCCTTTATCCATTTGTTTAGTGATACTAAAATAAATATCCATGTATTTAGTGATGATTACATTTTATCCCCGCATTCAGTTGGTCACCCTTACACAGTGCTATTCAGTCTGTCAGTAAAATAATTGACTTTCAACTAAATAATTTAAAAACTACGATCTCAATCGAAGTGTTCATTAGTTTAGGTTCCATTCCATTGTGACTTCAATCAGGTAATGTTTTAGTATTATATCCATCGACATGTGTCATTTGGAGTTCAGTCGTTGAGTAGGATTGAACTTACAAATTGTATATCTAAAGATTTACGATGCAACAATATACAGTTTGAAATTTGTTTAGTCCGGTAACTATTATTGCTAGTAAGAAACGTTACATTATCGAAGCATCTTTTTCGATAAGGTTCAGTCGGTCAGACAACCACAACCTGACACATTTGTACACCAGTTCTAGTTGCCATACCCCATCAACACTGCGAGATAAAATCGTCAAAACAAATTCCAGTTTAGTAGGGGTACTAACAGTATTAATGGTTATAGAAAACATTAGGTATCGGAGATACTATTTTAGAAAAAAATGTAAATTATTGAAACAATAAAAGAACTTATGGAGAATCTAGAAACTTGGAATTTAAAGGGAGGCATTCTCGAAAGTTAAGTAAAATTTATATTTTCAGCGTATGATGAAGCATTATACTCAAGAAAATCTACGTTCAATATTTCTCCATGCATTTGTCTTAAAGCTTTTTCTAAATCATAGTCTAGTACATTGAAAGCATACTGTGTGATCATTAAAGATGCACTTATCAAATGTACTTAATTAAATCAGTTAGTCGTACAAAATAGTTGTCGTTTTCCCCTAAATTTCCATCGTATGCAATATTTTAACTAAATTTGTGTATCTCAGGTGCCAACTGAACGTCTTGGATGTGCGCCAAATTCAAGTTTTGGTGATATTATGGAGCACGGATTTTTCAAACCAATCGATTGGGTAGCTTTAGAAAGGAAAGAAGTTCATCCTCCCTATCGTCCAACATGTGGAGGCGATAGAGATCTGATACATTTCGATCCTGCATTCACCGATGAACCTGTAGTGCTAACACCAGATAATGAGTAAGTGTTCAATATTTTATAAATGTTTACACATTTTTGCAAACATCTGCCTTATTTTTCATCTTTTTTCGCTAAAAACTTAAGTATACTATAATATCACAAAAAAGTCCAATATCAGACCTGTTCCTATTTGAATCAATATTACCAAAAAAAATTGGACTATGATAATAATCAATTCAACTAAACTTGCACCATTAGATTCTAACTTAGTCGTTGAAAGTTTTCATCATGTTTATAAGGCTTAAATGTCTTGGATTTGCTCGCTGACAGGATTGCGGGTACATACTTGTGAACAGTTTGATACTGAAGCATAATAACTACCTTTCACTCATTTTTTTCAACGTTTCTTCGATTGATATCAATCGGTAAATCTCCATAATCTATTTAACTCAATAATTTAATAATGTGAATGTAGAATGACTTGGCATCTATCATAATATGGGACGTTAAGACAAGCGAGTACTCTACTATTCTAATTTTTTCGTGTGTCAAAAAGTCATGATATTACATATTGTATGATGATTTAATATATATAAAGATTTAAAATATATAGCAATAATAATAAAATAAACCTTATTAATGATAAATAATATAATCTATAACTAAATGAATGATCAATTTTACAACGCCATTGAAAGCCAGGAAGCATTGGACGTTTATTTCGACCTAGTGTGGAACTCCTCAGTAGTGCACATCCAAGACAACGAGTGGTTCGGCAACCGAACTCAGGGCGTACAGTTTTGCGTGCAAACGCTTAACCCGTTGACCACTAATCTGGCATTCAACGGGAATAATGTCTAAGTTCAACCAACCCTCAACATTACACATCCATCTTCCAATGTCTTCAATAGGTAACTATCTCACAGCCAACAAGATTGAACTCCACTAGTCGTGACTTACTAAAGTCAATATAAGATGCTCGTGCAATACGGTGGATTGTTTGAAGTTTTACATTAACACCGTTGGGTGCTGGCCTAGTGGTCTAGGCGTTAAGCCTTCGCGCAAGAGACCGAAGTCCTGGGTTCGATTCCAGCTTGGGGATCGTGGATGCGCACTCCTGGGGAGTCCTACTAGGACGAAACAACCATTCAATGCCTTCAGGTTTTCTATGGCGATGTAACATTGATCGGTTCATGATCAAAATTACAACTCAGCAATCTCTATAAATGTTTACTGATAAAGGAATGATATTTTATCTGTTGAGAATAAATATTGATTTTAAAATTTAAAACTATCATTATCATTTAAATTCAATATTAATTTCTTTATATATGTGTACACATGGAACTATTAAGATGTAACTAATCATTCAATCCACATATATCTTCCGTAATTTTTAATCAATCCTAACGTAATGTATCCCGTTCATATTCTTGGTTAACGAACTCACATTCTGTGTATGAATTTAACTGTAATATAGAAAGTTGTATGAGAATAGCTTTTCTTCTATACACTGATCTTTGTCAGTTAAAATAAATTCAGGAGTATTTATACGGAAGTATTCTAATGAAATATCCAATATATATAATATTGGAATTTTCATTCAACTGCGTCATTTCTAACGATCGTGAATACGTGTCAGTAAGAAATTTCAGTTTTCTTTATCAATATAATTTTCTAAATAAAAAATCTCCAAACTTAATCTGTTCATCGGTACACTTTGATTTAATCGTTTACAATATTATTCACCTTAAGTTTTGTTAAATTTTACGGCTTAAAAACATTAAAAACTGATATTACTGAAGTGGTTTACGTATTTTCCAGTTGTTTTTTTTTTTTAATTTGTAAATATGACGTGATAGGAATTTTAGTAATTAGATGAATTATCACATTAATAAAAGCGCATAAATTTGTTTTTAAAAGTGAAAAAATAACGTGAATCAAAATGTATTCGTTTTCTGTCCAAGTTTCAAGTGTTGTTTTCGTTTCGTATTACTTTTTAAATTATTTTCATAAACTTTAAATTACTATTTTATTTAAAATAATATATCATCATATAAGAATATAATCAGTCAAGAGTAACGAGGAACTTATGTGCATCAGATCAAATTGTCACAACTCTATCAGTATATCAGGGTAAAATTAACAGAATAAATTCCAGGGTAGTAAAAATAGTATCAATGGTAGTAGAACACATTATTTATAGAAATCATAATTTGGGAAACGATGAATGCACAGAATAAAATGTATGAGTATTTTAAGACTTAAAATGAATAAATATACAACATTGAAACCGATTTTGAGCTATGTCATCATGTAATCCAAACCTACTTACATCAAACAGTTCACCATCCAATAACTTCATAGACTGGATGTTACATCATGTTTTGGTCGTCCCTAACTTTCGTCCAACTGACTTATAGTACAGCAAACGTCACAGGTTGAGTTATGTTGTATTTGCGAATTTAGTCGATATTTTTAATCTAGACTTCATTTCTCGACGTTAAATGTATTTTTTTAGTAGCTATATTAATTTGCTTCGAATTGAAATAATAATAATAATGCATAAGGAATGATTTTCCAGTGACTTTCATCCAAATTTATACCCACTAACTGTCGAAGTTACATCTGTTGTGAAAAGGAAATAATTTCTCTTTATATGTCACTGTCTTTATAACTAAACTAGAGTTTGAACTCATTGACGAGTGTTAGTTGAACTGAACCGACAATTCGATTATTTAGACTAATATGAGATTTGTAAATGTTAAATAACTAAAGGGCAAGGTCATTGGTTTACAACTCTATTTCGTTTAACTCCAGATACCATCTAGGTTACAATATATTAGACAGTTTAATTAGTTTTCTATGTTTTTTAACCATATTCTTAGTACTATCACTATTTTCCGTACAGTTTTATTTTACAAATTTCATTGATTTGAAAAGTGTATGATCGTGCATACCTGGAACTTTTGTGCACACTCTATAATTCATTACACACATTCGTTTATATTCACTTTAAATATGAAAACATTACGGAACAATAGACAAGGTGTATATGTGAAGTAATATTGTGCAACAAATGCCTCCCCTTTTTTAGAGAGGCTTTCGTAAAAACCAAATGCAGCACATCTAAGACAACCATTAAAAACCTGGAAGTAATAGATGGTTGCTTCGTCTTAATATGGGACTCAAAAGTGAGCACCTGCAACTTCGAATCGAAACCAAAACCTTCGTTTTCTAGCGCGAACGCTTGACCCCTGGACTAATGTGTAGGAATCCGATGGTTTACAAGTTTAACTTCAACCAACCCACGATTTTGCGCAACCATCTACAGTAAGAATGTTCCTCACACCCAATACAGCTAGGTCCCGGTGGCGACAGCTCGTTAAAATTCCAAAAATTTCCTCGAAGTTAGTTATTAGTGAGTGCATGATGACTTTCAGTGTTATGTTGTGGTAATTGTGGAATTTCATTGAAATCACTAACCAATTTACACCAGAAAACCCAGATAACACTTGGAATTGCATATTTAACTATAAAATAAAAAAGAGATATTTTTCGGTTGGATTAATCATTACTAAAGTCCTTAGAAGTCATGTAAGTGAATAGTATTAAAAACTAAGTGTATACATCATTTAAACTGACTTTCATAACTTAACAATTTCAGTACATACCAAGTGGTATCGTTAAACTTCTTATGATATCTGACGAAATGTTAGCATGGATTAAAAACCTAGTTGACTTTTTCTAAATTGCGTCACTTGTGTCAATGTAGAATACCTAGTTGATGTTTTCGGGATCATAGTAACCAGTGATAAAGACTTTGTGTTACATAATTCGTAATGGTTACTGATGCTGAAGGTGCATTAACTACTACTACCACTACTATTAAAAAAACAAATGTTCCGCATGGTTCTGACGTTTAAGAAAACCCTGATGTATCTTTAAAAGTTGTCATTGTAATTTTCAATGCGTTCATTATTCTAATCCCTATTTTTCTTACGGTAATAAAAAAAAGTTGATTTTCCAATCTTTTCATTCCACAACAGGGCAGTGATGTCACGTATGGATCAAACAGAATTCGATGGTTTCGAATATGTGAATCCTTTGCTCATGTCGTTAGATGAACAAGTGTAAGAGGAATTCTCATTCCCCCCCCTTCCTCAATGGCTCGTTGTGTTAATCTATCTACCTTCTTTTTTTTTAAAAAAAATCACTTTTATTCAATACTACCACCATATCTATTAACAAATAAATAAATAGTATTTTATATTGAATTTTTTTTAAAAAAAAACTAATTTATCGTATACATTCCATATTCATTCAATTAGCAAAATAAAAATTGTTTAAATCATTTACCAACAGTTCAATGTTAAATTAACTTAACAACATATCAAATGTTAAAATATTTTCACTTCTTTTGATTTTAGGGTATAATTCTTGAAATATTTTCTTTTTATATAAGAAAAAAAATATTGCTTACTTGGAAGTTTATATTATTTTAAGCACACACACACGTACATATATATATATATATTTCTAGGAAAATTTATTTTGTTTGTTTATTATCAAACAAGCTTCCTTTATTGCTCCGTGTTCTTTATTGATGAACAAAATGTGTTTAATTATTTTTTCTCTCGCTCAATTAATTCTGATGAAAATAAATGCTGACTGTATTTCTATCTTTTTCGAAGTTGTTGTTGTTGTTTTTTTTTATAGTTTTTATCAATGTTTACTTATTTTCTCTAATTTTATAATTATGGAATGAGTTTAAAGTAAATTATAATGAAATGTTTATTGTAGTTACTGGTAAGTAGTATTAATATGATTTAAATGATAAAATGAAATACTCTTAAATTTAACACTCAGTGAAGATAATTTTCTGATGAATTCTAACTACTTACTACTTACTCTAAAAGTATTCCGAGACATAAAGCTAGATTGACCAAATTTTTTAAGTAAATAATTAATCAACTTTTTGCGCTAAATTTCTCTGAATTAAGGTTTTTATTTTTGAGAAAACACGAGAATTTATTAACTATATCAGTGTTCAGTTACATATTCCAAAATTGACTTATCAAAATAATGGTTCATCGCTTTCACTGTCAAAAAAAACTTGCCAAACGACACATTTTAGAGATTATTTTACAAAACCAGTTCATACCAATATTAGCTATTCACATAGAATTCAATTCTAATGGATAATTTTATTGACTAGTAAGTATTCACAAGGAACAAAATACTTTGTTGGCCAAATCTAAGAAACTTAATACTGAAAAACTTCCATTCGTTCATGGTATAAATGCATCTAGCTAGAATTATGAAACCATTCAGTTACACTATTGTATTTTTTTACTTTGGTTGAGTGATAATGTCAAAAAGACAACAGTGCATTTTTAACTTAGTTTTTACTGTTCAACGATAACTGTTCTGAAAAAAAACCGTTTTGAATTGATAACCTTAAATTAGTAAATAATCACTTTGGTTGGGAAAATGAAAGCCAATCGTTTATTGGCTAAGTCGGTTACGTCATAGAAATTATTTTAAAATCTTCCCTAGTTGCTTTCACCCTAGATATGGGTTTCAGTAATTCTTTTCTCGAAGCAGGTTTTTTTCACTCTTGAGTGTTGTTTGAAACAATCGTTTCATTGTCTTTTAATTCTGTATAAATATTCTCTGCAAGATGTCTTTATAAATCCTATTGAAGCGTTAAAGTAAGGAAACTGAACAAGACATATCTTACCAACACTGGAAAGAAGGTTAGTTCATCAAGATACCAAAAAATAAAGATTTGAGCAAATGTGAGAATTACATAGAATTCATACTACCTTCAGTACTAGGGGAGGTTTTCGAAAGAGTATCGCTGAACCGGTTGAAAGATTCAGTAGACGCCCAACTTCGAAATAAAATGACCAGATTCCTTAACGATCGGTCGTACACAGACCAAATCGCGATACTACGGACCATCGTTGAACAATCAATTCAGTGGGATTCGTCACTGAGAAAGCCATTGATAGCATGGACAGAAGAACCTGCTTCTACACTGTGGTGTATCTGAGGAAATCGTCAACATTCCGATTGAATGCCGGTGTCAGACAAGGCTACCTACTCTTCCTCTTTCTTCTGGCGGTCGACTAGATTATGAAGACCTCAACATCTGAGGGAAAGCATGAAATACAATGGACAGACTGAATGCAGCTAGACAATTCGGACTTCGCAGATGACTTGGCTCTCCTATCCCATGCACACGAACAAATACAGGTCAAGACAAACAGTGTAGCAGCAGTCTCTGCATTAGTAGGCCTTAACATACACAAGGGAAAAGTGAGATCCTCAAATACAACACGGAGAATACCAAACTAATCATACTTGATGAAGAAGCTCTGGAAGAGGTGGAAATGTCCACGTACCTACCTGGTCGGCAACATCGATGAACAAGGAGGATCCGATTCAGACGTAAAAGTGAGGGCACATTCCTACAGTTGAACAATATATGGAACTCAAAACAACTGTCAACTAACATCAAAGTCACAATCCTCAATGCGAACTTCAAGACAGTTCTACTGTATGGAGCTGAAACTTGAAGAATTACCACAACTATGATCAAAAGAGTACAAGTATTAATAAACAACTGTCTACGCAAGATACTGAATGATTGTTGACCGGATATCATCAGCAACAACCTACTGTAGGAGAGGATAAACCAGATTTCAGCTGAGGGAGAAACTAGAAAATGATGTTGGAAGTGTCTAGGACATACATTGTGGAAATCATTAAACTGCTTCACGAAGCAAGGGCTAACTTGGGATTGTGGAGGGAAGCAGAAAAGAGGAAGACCAAGGAACATACTGAGCCAGGAATTGGAAGCAGACATAAATGGGATGAATAGCGACTGGAAAGTATTGCCCAGGACAGATGGAGAATGTATGTGAGTGACTTATGCTCCTCCGCGGCTGATAACAGGCATAAGTAAGCGAAGCTCTGAGGTCCAAGGAATGATTGCGTACAATTGCGTGAGTTTACACTATTGACGTACCCTGAAAGTAAATGGAAACTGTGGTCCAGTATAGCTTGTTTTTTATTAGACATCCAACCGATTTGAGTCAGCAATGAGAGATCGTATCAGTTAGTATTTTTAGAAGCCTACGTTATATATACTTTGTTTTGAACAGATGATTTACCGTCATTTTCCCAGTTATTCTATCATTTGTGTGTGATCTTGTGCGTGTGCTTATTGTGCGTATTTATCCATCTCTGCTTATAAATTTTGAGTCAATTTTTAGGATGAAAAGCCTATCTCCAGGCTGCATCTCTTGTTGTCTGTCCGAATAAATGAATCCTCTGAGTAAATTCTTTCGATTCGTCCTTGGATTTTATTACCACTTCTAAGAAGTCGGAGTTAGCCTAAATATAATATACTATTCCGAATTAAACGAAGAATTTGTTTCATGATTGATTCACCTTGTGTATTGGAGTCATCACATTGCCACCGAAAGTTGACTTGAAATAAACAAGCATTCAAAAACCGGTTAACAGTTTGATATGTCCTGTGAAGAATGAGTTGTCGACCTTGCTATATTTCACTGACTGGATCCATAGTATTATTTCCTTAGCCATTAGAGTGCACTAAGTTAAATGGATTAGTATCCGCTGAAATGTGGTGTTTGTATGAACTAATGATTGTTGTGTACTTGATTCCTGATTGATTTCGAATTTTAAATACAATACTTTCTTTTGTGCTCACCTAGTTTTATTTGGCTTAAATCGCACTGTTTCAAGAATTCCTAGTTAATACAATAATTCGAATACTTCTAATTATCATATGAATGTAAATTTTAATATCTACCAACTATATTAGTGTTTGTCATGTAAAAGAAACCAATGCTTATATTTGACAAAGAAAAGTCAACTCAAAGTTATTTGAAATACATTTCTTCAATAAATTGTTCATTAAAATAGACAGTTTCTTTTAATGAATGTTATACTCTTCAATATGTTTACCTGATTGAAATTGTTTAATCAAAATTATAATAAAATTAGCTCAAGAGAAATGCTTGTCGAAAACACTGAACTGTGTTATAAAGTTTACAAAGAACTCATATTTCAGTTGTCTGAAGGTTCTTAGTTATCTTTTCAGACAACATAAAGTCAATGTTTTTATCTCTAACTCAAGTAAAAAATTGGTAAGACTAAATGGAATCTTCATTTATAAATCAACTCAAATGTTGACTTTATTGAGATAATATTTTAATTATTAATAGTCCGATATTGATGTGATAGTATTTGCTCTGTTTTCAATGAATCGAATTCTTCATTCATGTGAGTTGGAATTTTACTTACGACTTAAACCTATCACTTCAAATAGTAACTGAGTATTATCTTCGAGCTATCGAATTACATATTTCGTAATAAATATAAGTTATCTTTAATATCGTATTACTTTCCAGTTACTATCTTTATTTGTATCTCAGATTTTTGTGTGGATAGTTTTCTTTCACCATATAATTTATTGCAATGGCACATCAATTCATGTTAGCTAATAATAGATTTCATTGTACACTTTTTTTCACAAATAATGATATTCAGTTGTGCATAAATCTTATTCAATGAGTGCGTTTTCAGTTAGATAAAATTAAATGTTCCAAATTTTTATGAAATAACCACAAAAATAGTTAACTTCAAATCAGTAAACATTTAATCTCTATTCACACTAGTGTAAGTTATTCATGTTTAACCTTTCTCCAATTTACCCTTCTATTTCTTAACATAATAAATTCTTTTATTTGAAAAATTGTCTAAAAAAATCAAACAGTTTAATGTTACGTTACTCAAGACAGCGTTTGAATTAAAGCTTAGATCATATTACATTATTGTAAAATGAATCAATTAACGTTTTGGTGGATTTCTGTTCTCTGAGCTGGATGGTTTGGTCGTGGAGCTTTCATCGACATCACCAGCAGAAACTACAGGTAAAAGTGAAGTGTTCGAATTCCCCCACATATAATTCATAACTTGTCCTGCAGACCTCAATCTTGATTGGTTGTCTAGTGAACAAGAACACGGGTGGGGACAATCGATCGTATTTATCACAAAAATTACAGACTATCTCAATAAAATGTGAATACCATAAAGTCAATCGTCAATTTGCAAAATATCATTCCATCATATCAAACTGTACTGTTCCCGTTGCAAACACTAATCCATTGTCTCCCATTCCATTGTACATGCGTTTTCTTACAATTCCATTGTGCTCTTGCTCTTTCTTTCTTGATCTTCGCCATCTTCTGCTGCCGGACATTACGTTCTTTTAACGCACGTTATATACTACTTATATCAATATAAGTAGCTCACACCACAGTTGTTGTTGATCTTTAACCTGTCATTGCTTACTTTATTTTGATTGTATCTCCCACTGATTTAGTTTTTGGTCCTATATATATATGGAATGAACACTTTAGATGATGTATTTTAGGATCAAAAGAAATAGTTCTCCAATACTAAAATTATATTTGAAGAATGAAAATTATTAAAATTAAAAACCAAGCGTTCAACAATTCTAGCTTTTTTAAATGCCTGCCTATCTTTTTATTTATTTAGTTGAACAAATAAATATTGACATAAGAAGGCGTCTTAATACATATGCGCCACACAATAACAGTGAGATTGTAAAGAGATAGAAAATGTAAAGTGGGTATGATAAAAAGAACAACGAACAGAAATTAGTGAATGAGAGTGAAATAATAATCATAATAATAATAGCAATAATAATAGGTGAAACAGTTTAATTACCAAAATACAACCAGAATGAGTCCCTCCAGCTAAGGAAGGTCCATTCATCTTTATGAAGTTATAGAATAATTGCTACTAGCTTCCACTCTGAGCAATATCCGATAACGTTTCTAGTCACTCTGTCCCACCATCTCTAGGACCCCAACCAATGAGTCGTGCAGGACCAACAGAAGCCAGTCCTGTACAGTTTCCTTTCATAGCACGACACCATGCCATATATTGAACACCTCCCTGCCTTTCCAACCCAGCGTCGGCGAATAATCGACAAAGTACAATTCTCTGGAACGAAACTCGTAGGGCATGTTCAAGCCGCCAAAGTCGATGTTTCAAGATGGTGACACCGGTTGAATTGCCATCTTTGTTCCCGAATACGAGACGCCGAACCTCTGCATTACTAATATGGTGTTGCCACTAGATGTCAGCAATCCTTCGGGGACAACGATGATCAAACACAAAGAGTCCTCTAACATCCCCAACTCAGAGAGGTCAGGTTTCACAAGGACAGGACTGCTCTCCCCAACGCGTTGTAGATCTGACTTTTTGCAACCAGACTAACATCACGAAGGCGCCAAAGATGGCCCAGATTGGTGTAAGGCGCTGTGTTCTTCACTATACGTGAACTGATCTCATCACTCGGGCCACTATCAGCTATTACGCAGCTACCCAGATACACGATCTTCTCGACTACTTTAACTGCTCATTACCAAAATTGAGTACATGTATGGACCTTTGCCAGTCTTGTAAAATTGATTTACTTACATGTTTTAAAGCCTTTATCAAGAGAATCGCACCAACTGCTTTCGCATGCTAGAGCTATTGAGTCAAACGGAAGAACAGGTAAATTTGTGAGCGAAATAATGTTGAGGCTTATAACTTTTTAGCTAGAACTTGATATTTCTTATTTGAAACTAAGTCACGCATGCAATATTTGAAATCGGTACTTGATGTAGAGTAGTCTCAACCAACAGCTTTGGCTTACTCAAAGCACATAAAACCTAGTACAGGGGGGACAGCCAAGAAAATAGAACGCGCTGTTCGAAATATAGAGACAACAGTATGAAGAGGAAAAAGGAATATATTCAAAGGGAAAGAAGTAAATAAGTGACCAATAGTAGTATATAGTAGACGGCGCAGTTCAGCTAACAATACACCAAAGATTTCTTCCAGTTAAAAAACTATTTTTATGAAGACCAAGGAAAAGAAAACTGACCAACTCGAATTTTCCCACCCAATATCAATAATTATTGCAAAATGTGATATCTACTAGGGTAACATTCGTGATACAACGCCAAGTCACTACGGCTGGCATCTCAAGATGGTGACATCAAGTCAGTTATCGTTACGGTCTGAACACGTTATCAAGCCTAAGTAATCAACATCAAGTTTTCTTCAAAGCCGTTCACCTCCTGCATCCATATTTAACTTTGTCATAGATATTCTTTTGAAGATAACGGTCTCATCGTCTAACGTTTCATGGACTGGCTGCTTATCAGGAAATCTACTTTTTGACTTGAAATATACAGATGAGACAATCCTGTTTAGTGAATTTTGCTCCATTTTACTTCATAGGTGTAGCCATTAAGGAAAGAGGATATTTATAGGTTACTAGTATCCCATCATGTGTCTTCGAACAATTGCTTGTGTGTTTTTTGTGAGCGATGTCGAAGTTAGGCATAACATACTAAATAATGTTGAATTGCGTATGTCCAACCACCACTTACCTCGACGAATATTGCCTGGTGTAAGAGTTAATCGGAAGAAAGCTAGGGAAAGCCAAACTAAGATGTGGCACCAGTCTTTAAGGAAACTGGCAACTGGACTGAGCCATGTACACCGGTGTAGACTACCTGATTGGCGTCCGCATGATTATCGTAACCAAAGGTTCAAGATTCTAAGTGACATATCTTAAAGCTGCTCGCAGTGACACAATTATGTTCACTCTTTGCATTAATTTAGAACCTGAGTGTCGAAATTCTCGTATACAGTTTCTCTACTACTACTACTGTTACTTCTGCCACTTTAGTGTTTGTCTTGATAATTTAATCTAGCTGTGCTAATTTGATATGGCAACTTGAGCCAGGGCATGTGTTGGGTTCTACGTTGCAAGCGAATGATTAAAGCTACATTCTTGAATCGAAGCCCTAAGAGCACCCTATTAGGATCTAATACAAGATTAAAGTTATAGAATAAAAGAAGTGTGGAAGATATTCACGTGATCTTCAACTAGAAGCATTACATGTTTTGATACCCACTAAGGTAACCTAAATTTTCACACAAAAACAGATTTCCGCATTTTTTTCATTAGACTGTGTAATATTCGAAAGAGAACGGTAGAAAAAAGTACTCCAATTATAAACTATTTATTAACTAGTATGTTGAGAATAAAAATAAAATGACATGTTTATGGTATACCGATTAATTTGTAGAAAAATGAACGATTAGTAATAAAAAGCTCTCAAAATAGTTGGCGCAATTGTTAGAAAACCAAAGAAAGCCAGGCGAACACAAGGGTCATGCCACCAATAGGTGCTATTCTAGAAAATCGATCATCTCCAGTTAGAGCCACATAATAGCATGAACCAGAGAACAGTAGAGTTCCCGTGGCGAAAAGAGTAGCAGACTAAAATAGATTAGTTCAAATTCATTGAAGTCAGTGATTTACCAAAACAGGACGTCTGAATAAAGGCGTGGTTAGCAAAGCCACCGAATGAACCAAATGATAATAAGCCCCAGTTTTGAAAATTTGTCTTTGTTTATCTTGTTCATCTTTGAAGCCTAAAAGTTAAAACTTTGGAGTAAGTAAATCTAATCTTTTTACCATGAGCACCATAAGCGCTCGCAATAACAGCCAATGCCCCAGAGAATCCAGCTAGTCGTACCAACATTGAATCCCAACAAAATGACGGTTTAACTTCAATCACAGGACTAGATTGACCAGTTGTACTGCGACCCACGAGGTTAAATATCCCATTAACGTAAGGCAGGTGTACCATCTACAAAAAGTGGTACTAAATATATAGTAGTATTTCATAAAAGATTATTATTTACAGGAGAAAACGATCGAAACTATTGAACTGATAGTTCTGAGTTGGATACAAAATATCCGGGTGTATTCGAACATAGGCCCATCAGTATATCCATGAGGCAATTGAAGATGAACAGGATTAAAAATTTTCAGAGAACCACACATGCCATAATAAATTATGGCTTGTCACAAAGTTCTGTCATACACGATATTTGTTCGGCACTTCAAGTCATGGATAGTACAGGATTTCGATAATCATTCCCTTTATTCCAAACAAAACAACGGATAAATATATAGTCCTTGATTTCAACACAGGCCTTAGGATCGTTTGGCCTTCACAAACATTTTGTTTCTTGGCTTTGGAAAAAATAGCAAACGACTAAGCTATCCAAACTTACTTCTGTAGTTGTTACATAAATACTTAATCATTTCTTAAAAACTGAAACTAACAACTGGAATCACTTTGGTAAGACTACTTCTAACCAATACACAGCCAACATTCCGGTTAACCTGACTAATCATCGTCTTTAAAGATTCTAAGTCATGCACCAGAATTTCGCCTTATTCTCGGTTTGCCACAGCCATTCAGAATTTAGCAAAAGTTAAAGTAATTATGTCATGTTAGGGATTTGGCTAGATAATAGACAACAGAGATGTAGCTGTCTGGGATTTGAATTACTTTTTTGTTACTGACGTCTCGACTACCAGCTTCGGAAAGTTCTTTGATCAGAAATAAAGGTTGGAAACTTAAGGCAGCTGATTGCAAAACCTATAATAAAGTTGTGGATTTGTGAAGAATGTCATCTTGTGTTCATTATTATCATATACTTTTATATCCTCCTAACTCACTTTATCAAATTATAAAATTTACTTTTTCCATAAAAATTGTGGTAGTATATGATTTCTGTGTATAATTACCGTATACGTACTTTACAAGTATTCATTTTGAACCTAGAATGGCCGACTTGTGACATTCTGATGGAACGAATAATGGTGATCGCAAGTATGCTCCGGCCGTTCAATCTTACTGGGTGAAGTGGCGACGACAACTCAACGAACTGGGACTTTACCAGATTTGTCTCGAAACTGGATACACTTGGGGTACTGCTGTAACTTTTTTACCACAAAATCTTGGCACTTATAAGATGGATCGCTTCCTCACTTATTATAATTAGTAAGTATTTACGACTTTCTTTCTTAAAAATTTCTGGGCCACGTTCTTTTTATTCCAACGGCATGCCTTGTGGTGACCTGATGCTAATGGGCAATCTCATTTTAAGAGAAACTGTGAAAGATTATTGTTGGAGTGACAGCTAAAATTAAGTGACGTTTACGGATTTAAAACCATTTCGAATGTAAATAAAAACCTTTGACTATCAGCCTCAGCTAAGCCTCCGAATTAACCGACGAAACCCTCAAAACCTGGACAAAGCACGCCGAACAGTGGATAATAATCCCACCTATTAAGCCAAATTTTGAAAAAATTAAACGGCCTAAAACAAAATGACAGACTTTTTGCATAAAAATGACTCACCAAGAAAACATCTACATATGAATTATTACCACAATATCTGTAGAACTGAATACTAATCTCCAGGAATCAATAACGAGGTATCTTCGAAAACGGAAGACAGTAATGTAGCGACTTTGTTTACTTAATCCAAGTTATTTATGGGGATCTATAATAACTTTTGCTAGCATCGCTAGCCACAAAAATTAACGGTTAGCGCTAGAAGGTATTTAAATTTCTCTGGAATAGACTATGAACAACACAACCTTAGTGACATGTTATTATACTACCGTTTCACTAGTCTACTAGTGTACTGCATTACTTGTTGAATCCCACTAATTGAGTGCAATTGTCAATACATACATAAATGGAGGTTAAACGACGGCAATCACTAATAATAAAAGCCCACCCAGACTAGTGAGTGAGCTTATAACACTTCAGCAGCTTTATTCTGTAGGTAGAAAATCTAGTCGGCTTTGTAATAAGCTATAGCTTATCAAATCACCAAATCACCGGTAGGCAATAGTGCAGTTAGCGAAGGTTTCGTATACCGTGAGTGAGTATTAATTCATGGAGTAACAATGAATAATAGAAAGGAAACAAACAATAAACACGAACGCAGTATCTTGCGTTGGATTGTGTTATATTATGGGCAACGCTCCTATGGTATCGTCCACTGATAGGGGTTGCGAGCACCTGAAGGTCAAACTGTCGCGAAATGATTGGTGCGTCACATCGACAATTCGTGAAATTTTTCAGAAGCGGTCAAATCAAGACATTTTTAGATTTGAATTGAGTTCAGCCACACTATGTCTAGTAACGTTTATTCTTCAAGTAACGAAGACGATGCCATCGTGATGATGCATGATATAGGTTATATGACTTCTGTGGTTAGTACTTGTTTTTTTAGTATACGCATACTAAGTACTTTATGTCAGTATACAAAGAGAACAGTGATGATCCAACTCTAAAGTACTTTTTCGTGAGTTATGTCTGTACATATGGACGTAAACGCAGTTCGTCAGAGTCAGACGCTTGCGTTCAGGATGTAGATGATGATAGTAATAATCATTCTTCTGAAGAGCTTAACAACGGCGAGACTCTAACTTAAAGACGACCTTTGAACGAACCTTAAGTGACCTTGACAATTATTAGCGAAAATATATTATATGAAAGTAATGAATTACAATGGATATTCTTCTTTTACATGATTTAAAAACTTGTTAAGGTTTGATTAAGGTTCAGAGGTTCTGAATTCACAATGCATATGGAATAGAAACTCGTCTATTGGGTTAGAGTTAGGTTTACGTGTAAGGTTAGGGTTAGTTGAGGGTTAAGGTTTAGGGTTAGTTGAGGGTTTAGGGTTAAGGTTGGGGTTTAGGGTAAGTTAGGGTTGGGGTTAGGTGAGGGTTTAGGGTTAAGGCTTAGGGTTAGAGTTAGTTGAGGGTTAAGGTTTAGGGCTAGGTGAGGGTTTTGGGTTAAAGTAAGGTGAGGGTTAGGATGCTAACATACGAGTTTTTAAATCATGTTAAAGAAGAATATCCACTGTAATTTATTACTTTCTTTTAATATATTTTTACTTTATGCTGTCTTCTGATTGACTAATAATTGAAATTGCTCAAACGCTTCTGATTGGCTCGTCCCTAAATTAGAGTCTCGCCGTCCTATCTGTTGTAACCTCTCATTAATCACCTACTCTCTAAAATCCGTTGTGATTGAGGCGCGCTTTTCAAACGGGAAGTTTAGTCCTAACGTGATTTGCATATATCAAACTTTTGCTGTGTTCTTACGCAACAAAAGTACCATTTCAGTTCTAAAGAATCTATCCTGAGCTATACGTTCGGTAGATTAATTTTTTTGAGTTTCATTATATTTAATAGTTACCTGTGGTTTTGCCTCAGCTTACTATTCGGTTTTTTTTGTTTTTCACGTATAGACTAGTTTCAGTTTATATCACTCGTTTTGTCCATTTTTGTCCGTTTTCAGTGTGCTTTTTAGTGTTTTTTTTAAAAAGGTCTTAAGCTCTTGCAAGCACCTATAACATAGTTTGCTTCAACACCGTCATGAAAAACTCATGCAAACGTCCGGGATGCCGTTTTGCTGTCACAACTGGCATGCAGTGCGACAACTGCAAAGGTTGGTTCCACGAAGCATGCACAAATCTGACAGCAACTGCTTACAACAGACTCAGCAAGTCAGACCATAAGTGGGTATGTGTCACGTGCAACACGGACGCAGTAGTCTTGCTGAGTAACATCATTGTCCTACTGACAGGTCTTCGGTACAAGCTGTCAGTTAACTTGGAATACGATAGTAAAAAAATCGATATACAAACAAGAGCGTGCAACGGACTCAAAAATAGGGATGTCGATAGGTACACCATCGATGGAGCATCCATCAACACTAATGACGACGTGTCGAGGCTCAGTACCATCATTACCTCGACGGTACTAGACTCGCTAGGCAAACTCGGGTCTCCCAGCTCAGGGTCCCTGAACACAACAGTGGTTCCCAAAAACCCTGCAGGTGATTCGACCTACGTTAAGAGAGCCCAAAAGAACCGGGCTTCACCGCCTAAGCCGAGCAACCCAAGTGTTGCTGCACGGAAAATAACTGGTGATTTAGTCGCACAGTCTACCCCCAAGACTGTTCGTCCGGTCAATAAAAAGCCCAAGATCCATAAACGCACACTGACCTCCAAACAACAAGTTATTAAACCTGAACCCATCCTGAAACCTGGTAAATTAACAACAGTTCGTGACGATTCTCTCATTATCATGAACCTCGTTGACAATCCTGACCTTCCTCTCAGTCTGCAGGACAAAAACGACAGGATGTTGTGGGGTGAATTGAACAAGAAGCTCGAACTTCCTAGAATAGAGCCTTTGACGGTCACCCGGCTCACACGAGGAAAGGATTCTAAGCATCTAAATCACCCGAGGCTTCTCCGAGTAACACTTAAGAATGCTACCGACGTAGAGGACGTCTTGCTAGCAAGTCACTTACTGAAATCAGATGGTAACGTAAGAATATTGCCCGACATACCGTACTCTGAGCGCAATATCATACGAAACGTCCCTAAAGAATCTCGCGAGAAATTTTTCCGCGGAAGAAACATAATTGTCCAAGGTATACTGGAAAGTGCAGACCCTACTCAATCAAATTCTGACATCAGGGAATGGAAATTCATCAAACAGTCCTTGAGGCTCAAACACATACTGACTCAGCATGTGACGAGACTAGCCAAGAAGGACGGTGATCTTAGACCCCGTCTAATGAAGATAACCTTCCCATCTTCCTACATGGCGGATGCAGTTCTGGAAGCATTTCGTGCTAATAGACGTCGATTGCCACCTGGAATCCACATGCACCCGGATAGGCCATACGAAGTTAGGATCAAGAACAAAGGCAAATTGGAGCTGACCATTCCACTTGTGGACTGTCTAAACGATAAAAAAACGTGTAAAGGACAGGGCCTACCACCACGGCAAACCTGATATAGATGGGCTACCTGTCCATTCACATAGGGTTCATACAGAAAAACAGGACGAAGCTCACGCGTTCCAAATTGAAAGCATAAACTGCTTATATATGAACGCCGCGAGTCTACCAAACAAACTGGATGAACTACGTGAACTTAGCAACGTTAATAAGGCCCATCTGATAGGAATATCTGAAACCTGGATATCTTCTCAGTTCTCGGACCAAGAGTTAGCATTACCTGGGATGACTTTGTTCCGCAACGACAGAAGAACAGGAATTGGGGGCGGAGTAGCCATATACATAAGCTCTTGCTTGGAGGTGCACCAGGTTCACAACCTCGAGTTTAACAATCTTGAGGAATCCATATGGTGCTCTGTGAGATTGTCTAGTACTTCCAGGTGTCTAGTCGGAGTCATTTACAGGAAGCCAACTACCGACACCGAGTACGATAGTCATATGCTGGAAGGACTATCCCGCTCTATCCGTCTCGGTTTCACACACATCCTGATTCTAGGGGACTTTAATCTCCCTAGAGTCAACTTCGCGGAACACACGTACACTGGAGGCGACAACTCAACTGAAGCTCGGTTCTTCAACCTCATCGATAACTTGGGCTTATATAAAAATGTGAGGTCGGCAACTCGTTGGAGAAACAGTCAGACACCATCGCGTTTAGATCGTGTATTCACTAACGAAGAATCCCTAGTCGACAACCTCTCAATCCTGGCTCCTCTCGGAAAGAGCGATCATGCCGTCATAGCCTTCAGTTTTGTCATCAAAACTAAGCTAAGGTATCCCAACAATAATTTGCGTTGGAATTTTAAACGGCTGAATGTGCCAGCTCTACATGACTATCTACAACAGGTGGTTTGGGATGTTCACCCTCAACTCGATGTGGATGGTCATTGGGACTTCTTACTGCACATGCTCTTATGTGCTACAGACCATTCAGTTCCTCAAACGGTTCCCAAAAGCTGCAAGCCACCTAAAGTAATCAAGAACCGTACCTTTCGCCTGCTAAGCCGCAAAAGACACTGTTGGGCGGAATACAAACGAACTAATAACGGTGGAGCGTATAGGCAATATAAACATATCAGGAACATATGCACGAAGGCTATAAGAGAAGACAGGCTTCAGTACCAAACAAAGCTTATGGACGAATTCGCCTCTAACCCTAGAAGCCTATTCCGTTATACAGCCTCACTTCGTCAAGCCAAAACTGAAGTTTCTCAACTGCTAGGTCTTAACGGCCCGACCAACAATGATGGCGACGCCGTTAACCTTCTGGCGGCACATTACTCTCAAACATTTCAACCGGCTGAAATCAACTTTATTGACGACAGTTTCATGTGCAATTCCACAGGACTTTCTGAAGTGGACCTAAGCTCTGACTTGGTGTTCCGGAAATGGCAGCACTTAAGACTTGACACTTCTCCTGGCCCGGATATGGTTCATCCTGCCATACTGAGGGAGGCAGCCTCAATCCTGGCAACGCCGCTTAGCGTGATGTTTTCACACTCGCTTAGCCGAGGCAAATTACCGGAAAATTGGAAGTTGGCTCACATCACACCAATTTTCAAAGGTGGTCGACGCAATGAACCTTCAAGTTATCGGCCGGTGGCTCTTCTGTCATTACCTTCAAAACTCATGGAGTCCCTGATATGCGACGGTTTAAATGACTATCTACTGTCCTTAAATTCCTTCTCACCCCAACAGCATGGTTTCAGGAAGGGTTACTCTTGTATAACCAACCTGCTGACTGCGGTGGACAGATGGACAAGCATCCTCGATCGCAAGAGAAAGGTTGATGTCATTTACCTTGATTTCTCAAAAGCTTTTGATAAGGTTAACCACTTGTGTCTTATCAATAAGCTCAAACGACTAGGTATCAAACCACCTTTAATCGATTGACTTACTTCATGTCTAAAAAATCGACACTTTAAGGTTAGGGTTAATTTCACTTTATCTCAGGCTATGGAATGTCCTATTGGGGTCCCCCAGGGCTCAGTACTAGGGCCTCTTCTCTTCTTGATCTACATAAATGATCTTCCTCAACAGGTAACGTCAGACTTATTACTTTTTGCCGACAACGTGAAACTTTGGAGAGAGATACGCAACCAAGACGATATGCAGGCACTTCAGGAGGATCTGACTCGACTTCAAAGTTGGGCAGACGATAACGGACTTACCTTTAACACTTCAAAGTGTAAGGTAGTCCATCTGCGACATTTCGCAAACTACAGTTACAACTTAGGAAACTCCTCTCTAGTAGTATCCCAAGTCGAAAAAGATTTAGGAAT